CTGCAGAGGGAATTACTGATGAAGGGTTATACCCCAACCTGCCCAGTGCCTTTCGTGGAAGGCAGCAGCATCTGCCTGTGAAGATGAGGTATCGGACAAAACATTCACTTCTACTGAGTTCATTTTTGCAATTCCTGCCTTGTCCCAAACGGATGCGTGACTGGTATACTGAAGAAATTCAAGGTGAAGACAGTCAGAAATGTCATCCTGCCTTTTCCAAAAGCATCTGTGACATGGACAACTCAGTAGCTGTGCAGAGCAGCTCATCTGCCATCCGCATCATACAAAAGGTGCAGTGCCCATATACAAACTCTTCTCCGCAAAGAATGCGGAGTAACAGCAATATAGATATGTGCAATCAGAGTGCCACGAATCATTCCTGAAGTGATTCCTATCTTTGGCAAACTCAGCTAGTGCTGTATTAGCACTAGGGCGGTTGGCTGTCTTTTTCATGGCTTGAATACATGATTTTCTAATGAGAATCTGATAAATCCTGCAAGTTACTGAGGGATTAACATAATAGTTTGCAATGCGGAGCAGAATTATTTTCTTATGCTATATGCTGCAGGCAAATAATGCCATACTGTATGGCCATACAAGAAAAAATGAGGGCGAATGCAATTATTTATATGACTATGCCATTGTTATCAGTATATATAAATTATGCTGTGCTGCAAATAAAGGCCATCTGTAAATAGATATACTAAATGAAGCCGACTGAAGGCAATGCAAAGACTCTTAACAACTTTGACAGGTTTTAAATCAGGATCACCTGCTGTTTTGAGGAGGTTTTTCAGAACACATTAAGCGCTTAGTACCAAAAGTTTCAACCAGAGTACATGGCTCATACTCTTCTATATCCCACTCATGTACATTCCTGCAATGTATAAATTTTTTAAGAAAATAGGAAAAAAATTGTCACCCACATCTGTCTGCAATTCATTTTGCTCTACATCAGACCAACACTCTGCATTTAGCTGTAGTCTAAAGACAGCATGCAAAACAGCGGCAGTGAAGGACACGACATGCCATGCAGCACAGTTGTTTTCCAGAAGAAGACAACCATAAACCTCCGGGTTAAGCAAGAAAGGCCACCTAGCACTTGGTTATAAATGCATACTGGCAATGGAAAGCACACTACCAGAGGGACTCCAGTATGCCAAAACTGACATTCTGACACAGCAGTCCAAACCCACGTCCATGCCAACGTCACCTCAGGAACCCAAATGACAAAATACCTTCAGAATCAACCGCCGACGATAAACTCTTGTAGTAATTCTCTGCTCTTCATCTGAGCTCGACTCACTCTCAATCTCACTGTCACTGTCACTACATTCCTAACAAATGCAGTTTTAGTACATTTGAACAGCACATTTGCAAGACAGAACATGCTGATCAGGACTAGGAGAAGAAAACAGAGGTTATCACGGACAGTGTTTTTCCTCTGTCTATTATGTACATAATGACTCGCAGTTTTGCTCTTAAAGTATATGGTGGGAGGAGGCTTTTTTGTTCCTTGGCATGTTGGAGCTTGGTAAGTATACCAGCTACGGAGTAACTCAGCAGCTCTTAAGTCTTAGAAAATGGTACTTGGAATGCATCCGACCTGTGGAATTTCTAAATCTTACATAGTTGTTACAAATTTTGTGTACAAAAAACCCCTTGTCATAACTCCTTGCTTTTTTCTCCTTAAAAATTAATGTTTCAAACTAATTGTATGGATTCACAAGGTATGGGACGTGAATTCCCTCATAAAGAAAGAAGACAGCCACACAGAAAAATTCAGTGTAGCATCTCCACAAAGAAGATTGAAAATAAGCATTTTGAAGAACTTCTCCATGTAAATGGCTTTCCTGCTCAGCATTTATTTGCTTTTAAGTAGCAAAACTGTAGTGTGAAGTAAAACCATTCTGCAATTTTTAAGAAGGGAACTGGTAGACCTCAGCTCAGGGCAAGGGGGAACAGCCTGACGCTGGTCTCGGCTTGGTGTTGGGAAGTACCACAGCCGCATGCAGGTGCCTACTCCATCCTGTCACCCTCTGACAGTCCCAATGTTTTCCCCTCTGAAACCCAAGGAGCTCCTCAGCTTTGAGGCTGAACAGCTCTTTGTGCACATGCCTGACGGAGGGCTTCATACCTATGTGTGTGATGGACACAGGGCAGAGGCCCTTCTCAAATGATGTTTCACTGAACCAATCTTTTTCTGAATAGAGAAATTTGAAAATTTTCTCTATAATTACTCAATGACAGCCCAAAACTGATTTTCAAGTCATGAGCAGCAGATACTGCTTACTTCATTTCATTTAATTTCTCTTTTTGAATCTGGCCCAAGACATCCGAAACAAGAAGCATTTCTCAGAAATGATGCGTAAGATAAGAGTAGACATAGGTGGATGGAGGAGAAAAAGGACTATATAACAAAAAGCATTTAGGGCAGGATGACATTATTCACCTCCACGTAAAGTCTCCTGCTGTCCTCTAACACTAGCCAAATAAATATACAAATAAATTATAATCCAAGCCTATCCTGAAGAAGTAACAAGAAGCAGAAGAAGATTCCCAGAGGGCTTGGAGGAAGAGTTATTTTTAATAAGTAGATTCAAGTGGTTTATTTGTAATGGAATTCTGACACTGGGAGTCACCTCCGCCATGTGGTGGATGTCACCCTCTTTGGGATAACAGACCAATTGTGCTATGCTCCTCTCATTTAAAAAGATCACTGGAATTTGATGCTTGAGCATTCGAAGAGAATTATATGGCCTACTGCACTGCTTTTGTAAGCTTTGGGGCCTTTACATGGACTTGGGATGAGACCAACAATTTGTTTTACCCACATCACCAGGCAGCAGCCCAATATCAATCGTCTGAGTTTATCTCTTGTTGCAAATTGTATGCCAAAACACTGATGCAGCCCTCACCCTGCAGTTGGATGACTATTGCTTCTTAGCTCTTTCACAACGGGTCATAGGAAAAAATATCTTACTTTGAGAAGTAATTTTATTTCGTTCCCCCTTTCTTTCCACAGAAATAAGTCTGTTTCTTCCATACTGTTCTCTTTATGGAGCATTTCTGAAGAATGCCTTGCAGAAAGACTGTAGCTGAAATTCTCTTTCTGTTTTCATGACAGTCAATGAAGAGTCCCATCATGAAACAGACTGTGTTAGTAATTAAACTACTGGCTTCAAATTAGATTATAAGAATTCTTGAAGAAACATCGACAGGATACTAGAAACAATTCTTGTTATCATTCTGAAAACCACTAGTTTGTTACCCATTCAGACTTTGTGAGAGACTCAGGTTTAGAAATGACACTATTTTCTGATACCGGTTTATTCAAAGATCAGGTCTATAAAAAGGCTTGTTATTTAGAAGATAATCTTATCACCCTTTACCAATACAGCAAAAGTAGTGCAAAAAGCACGCGCTTATTTTTCCCAATCCAGATGGGATATCCAAAAGTAAAGACGACACAGAAGTGGGTGACAACTTATCTTCTTGCTGATGGGAATCCAGAGGGGGAAGTGCAGGACTGTGACAGTGTCCATCTACTCTTATTCCTGCATTTAGACTGAGAGTAATAGTATCTGCCTGAGCTCTGCCCCAAAGCCGACCGGCACTAAAGGAACTCTGCCATCTGCCTTTAACTGCCTCTGCAGAAGGCTCTTACTTACATTTTTTAAGTATTCCAGTAATTAGTGAACATTAGGAAAGATCTTCGCTGCTGCAACTGTGTCACGAACTAATAACAAGATAATAACAATCATATGCTGCATAACTGCTGAGACTGATTATGTTACCATCTAATAAAAGAACTCATGGTTGTATAATCGAAAGAATAGTTTAAAATTAATTCATTTAAACCAGAATGATTTATAGCAGCCCACCACAGCCAACATTTTTATTATGCTACAAGTAAAAAAAGAAGCTATATCATGTAGAAGCAATTCTACTGAAATACCTCGCTTCCAGAAGTTATAATCTCCTGTATTACATCCAGGAAAAGACAATCTCAGCAGAGAGAGGAATGTAGAAGCAGCTCAGCAATTCTCTTTTTCAGCCTGGTTCGCTGCAGTCCTGTGGTCTATTCTATGGCAACCCTCCCACTGCTGGGGTGCAAGATGCACACAGCTATGAGGCTAGAAGCCATTCTTTGAATCAACTTTACTTTTAAGCTTCTGGGAAATAAATATAAGCAACTGAAAAAGCTATTAAAATCTTCATGGTCAGAAAATAATCCATAACTGAAGTTCTGCTGTTAAGGATGTGCGAGCCAGGCAAGGTAGAAATGAAGGGGAGCCCCTCTGCAGTATTTTAAAGAGTAAGAACCACCACTTGGAAAAGTGCTTTACACATTTGGTAATCTTTTGATTCCTCTTAGCTGGATGCACTTTGGAGTTGGGATGAGTGAGGCCATGAAACAAAAAAAATAAGGAGGATAATAATAAAAAACAATAAATTTTTGCCCAAAATTTATTTCTCTGCAAATTAACAGAGTGAAAAAATGCAGGGGGGTGGGGTGGGGACAAGGAGTCCCTATATCTCTTTGCTCACTTCAATGTCACAAAAAGAGCAGAAACCAGTGGCATCACCTTACTGGAAACAGATGGAGAACAGCTGAGCTGTTTGGCACTATTTGCACAGGTGGTATGTCAGGGCAGGAAAGGGGCCTGTTCCCCAGCGATGCAGGACAGCAGTCCCAGAAGCTGCTCTAACCTCTTCCAGGGCTCGGGGCCAGTCAGGCAGAGGATTATGCAGCCCTGCTTGGCTCCTCTGCCTGCCCTGACTCCATCTCATGCTATTCACACTGCAGAATATAAATTTCTACTAACTTCCATTTTTCTTAATTTAGCAATAAATAGAAAAGGCATAAAGAAGGACAAAAAAAACCCAACAAAACCCTGTCACAAATAACATTAAAAGTCGTACAAAAAATTATGTCAAGCAATATGTCAAGCAACAGAGACTCCTCACACAGTTAATTATTACAGGACATACTGTACCTTCTGTTCAGACATTACTGCTCCCTCCTCCTCTTGGATGCTTGCTCTTGGCTTGCCATCCTCAGAAGTACTCCAGCTCATCTTCTTCACACTGACAGGCACAGATGTTTTGTTGCCTTCTGTTGTTGGCTTGCTAATCTCTTCCAAAGATTTCTGATATGCTGTTGATGATAATGTTTGCTCATCAGTACCAGCTGAAATTTGCGGCTTTGCTTTCAGGGCTTCTTTGTCACTCTGTTTTCCCACATCATTTAAAGATTCCTGGATGTAGGATTTAGTTTTCGCCTCTGCTGTGGATTCGGATAAGCTTCCATTTGTTTCTGGCTTCCCTGCTTCTCCTTTGATATATGAGGTAACAGAATCCCTACATTGGTCCGAACTACAAGAAAAAAAGAATAGACAGCAGTTCATTGCCTAAATCACACGCAGAAGGGCAAAGCACTGAACCTCTTACTGAGCCTTCATTCTCAGCACAGACATTTCAGACAGAGGAAAGTAAAATTTTAAATTCAGCTTGCAAACATCAATCAATTTAATAGCCTTGTCTTCGGCATCATGGTATCTTTTCAGAAGCAGCGAGAATATTGTCAACACTGGAAACATGGCCAAATGTTTTATGTTAATCTCCTTCCACTTACCGGGGCGAGGAAGGAAAAAGGGAAAGAAAAACACACAAATTTCCTTGTATAATCATGAGATAAATCCCCAAGGCACTAATTCTTTCCCCTGCTCTCTGACCAAGGAGGTGATCAAAGTATCTGTTACTGTGCAATTACCAGCAACGACCAAATAGTTTACGTTATTTTTTCCCCCAGACTACAATACCTGTATTCCAGATAAGTTACACCTTTAAAACAATTGGGTGTCTGAAAATAAATCCTTAGACAGTGCAGAGTTTCAATACTACACAAAGCCAAAGGCAAGGAAGGTTACTACAAGATAGAAAGGTGACCAAAATTTTGCCTTAGATTACCTCCGGACAGGTTTAACCTGCACTTCTGATACACGGTTTTCTTCTCTTTCGCATTTTTGCTTACTTTCAGATGAGCACTATGACTGTACACATGAAAATACTATAGCTATTTGCTGGCAAAACTCTTATAGAAAGACAGCAAATTGAATTCATCGAGTTAGAAATGGATATATTATCCTCTTAAGGAAGCCCTTTTACTTCTAGAAGCAATCTATTTTACTCATTTAACAATATAAAATGCAGAGTAACAATACTTGCTTAACAACAGAAATCACAGCAGTAGTAGATGAAGTGCTTTGCAGTCCTGAAAGACAATCAGTTTGCTGAAATCAATGGCCGAATTCCCACTGGATTCAGTAAGAGAGTATCTAATGCTACCTGGAACATTAAAACCTCCTGAGTCAAAGCTGCAAAGAATGTAAACTGCTGACAGACAAATGATCACTCTGCAGATAATCATTCTCTGCTGATTTACAGCTCATGCAGACCTAGCTCCTTCAATTAGTAATCATGGGAGCGATGTACAAAACAAAGGTAGGCAGGAGCTCTTCACCCAGCGGGTACCAGTAAGGCTGAACACAGCAACACATATTGTGAACGCTGAAAGCTTAAGTAGGTCCAAGGGGAGACTGGAAAAGCTCATGCAAGAGAAACGCATTGACGATAAATATGTAGAAAGCATCCATCTCAGCAGGTCATTATGCTGAAAGCAAGCGGAGCTTGGGAGAGTACTGGAGGAAAACAGTGTATGCATCCACTCTCCTCCTTCCCTGAGCACCCTCTGCTGTCACTGCTGGGAGACAATATACGGGACCAGATGGATTTGGTATCACCATTCTTACCTTCTCATGCTTTGTAACTCATCTCTTTAGAAGTCTAGTAAATCAGCACGACATAACAGGCTTCAAGTAAGTGTTATAAAACCAGTGACAATTTAAAAATTGGCGTATGGAAAAAGTAACAACTATCTAAGGGAAGGCAAAGAGATGGAATGAAAAGGATGATTGCTAAAAGGCTACTCGAGAAGTAAGAGTAATGTAGTACCCTGGTTTCAGATAATGTGTATGTTCAGATACAGTCCTCGATTCCAGTTACATCTATTCATCACTTAGAATTAGATAAAAATAGAAACGGACAAGATAAAGAACACAAAAAGTAGTATTAGCCTCTAAACATAGACTACTTCTGAAATACCTATACCAAGAATGAAAACTGATAAATATGTAATTTGTCTGCGGCCAAATCCAGTCAAATATTACTTTTAAACACATGTACCTGCTTGCACATGTACATATGCTCACAGGATAGCAGAGCAGCGGGCTCAGCACCGCTCCTGCAGCAGCATGGAAAGGCTTGCTTACACACACGCGCTCTGACACGAAGGTGCTCACCTATCGTCCAAGCGATCTAGCAGGCTACCACCTATTCTGCGTCCTGATGTCGGTGGCTCGGTGACACTTGACGAGTCAGGCTGCCAACCTGTAATTGAAGACATTTCGTGTTCTGCTTGTTGAACACCTTTAAGAATTGACCATACTCTTTCTTCCGTCATCTCCTCAGACTCAACTCCTTCTTCCAGATGAATGTCCTCAAACAGAGATTTAAGCTTTTCTTCTGTCATCTCCTCATCAGTACCAGACTTTTCTCTCTCAGGCTGTTCAGTCCTTACTCCTCTTTTACTAGTCTCTTCACTCTGCCTTTGTTTAGCATCTTTTGATATCCCGCCATAACTACCAAGATACCGTGGAAAATCCTTAAGGTCCACTTCCTCCAACTGGCTCTCGCCTATGAAAATATCTTTAGGTGTTCCTTCTCTAGGCACTGAGAAATCGAGTTTGCTGTCATCCAGTGAAGTGTCTTCTTCAGTCACCACTGGCGGTGCTGCTGCTGTACCATCTACGTGTCCCTGGGAGGTCACTAACACGTCACTCAGTCTACTGGGAGTTCTAAGGGGTGACTCTAGGCTAGAGGTGTCGCTAAAGAAATCGTCCTGATGGAAAGGGGTGGGTGGCACGAAGCGCAACCCTGTGGGAGTTTCCAGTTCCACTTGAATGGTGGGATAACCTAAGGAAGACAGCACATTTGGACTGACTGGGATGAAGCATGGAGCGAAAAATAAGCAAATGTCAAATGATTCATGAATTACTTAAAAGTATGAAACGTATGAGGAGGTGCAGGTGTATAAGAACTAATGCAGTTCTTATAGATTTCTTTACTTTGTCCTAAACAGGTGAAACAAAAAAATGAGTACTGCCAGTGAATAGTACAGTGAAGCCAGTACTTTTGACTATTTTTTAAATAGCCTGTAAGGATTTCAGCAATTGTTTTTGCAGCCATTTTAACATTTTCAAGCTATAGCAGATTGCATTATGAGCATGCAATAAATCAAATGTGGACAAGGGTGGTTGTCTCTATATCCAATACAATCTCTTGCAGCCATATTGTGTAAATCTTTCTTTTCCAGTTTTTTTTTTTTAATTTGAAAGTTTAATAAATAGACAGAAGTAGATCGTAAGATAGGACAGCCACTTTTTTGTCAGTAGGTACAATTTCTAAAACAGGTCCACATTTTTTATATGCTTCTATAGAAAAATACACAATACCAGCTATACAATGCTACTAATATATATCTCCAATTTAACCACAGAGCCAGAAGAATGGAATAGTTAAAGAATGAAGAACAGAAATGGATCCTAATGAGGATACTAAAGAACAGTAGATAGCAGGATAAAAAACTAAAAAAGGAAGTTAACAAAGGGATAACAGAAGACAAATACAGCAAGGGAGAGCTATATGAATATTTCAGGTACAGTAAAGTTATACAGGTGAGAGGACTGTGGTGAGTAAGGAGATCTTGGTGATCTTGGAGAGTGAGGCGATCTTGGTGACATGGGTACAATCAGATACACTGATCAAATAAAGAGAGAAAAGAAAAAATGATGAAAACACAGGAAAACCATACAAAAGTATTACAGCGAATATAAACATAAAAATGACAACAAAATCCGAAGTTCACTTTCCAGCAGATAATAGGTTGGGTAATCTATGAAAGGAAAAAATACATGCTGTGGGGTTAACTTGACATTGTGCTGCCTGCAAAGGGAGGTGCATTAACAGGGTTTGCTTATTTTCTTTTCTGAATCAGCTGAGAGAAAAGCAAAGGTGGTCTGGTCTTGGTGAGGAAAGGAAGCTTGAGGAAGGTTCAGAGAAGAGGAGAGACAGAAAGCAACTGCAGAGAAGCGTATTTTTTTCATAAAGATATTGATGCTACTATTAAAAGGCGCAAGCAACATTTCAAGAGCAACTTTCTTAAAATGTCAACAGAAAAATATTTCTGTAATGCAATGATTCAATGATGAGCAATGCTGCTCAATAATGGAGGTACACTGAGGTTATATACTCCAAAGGAAAAAAAAAAAATCCTACTAAAATACAGAGAAGGCTCAATATATATTTGAACAAATTACAAAAAGTAAAGGAAATGCTACTTACAAAAGAAAAATCTTAGTTAAGGAACTATTTATAATACATGGACAAAAATCAAAGTAAAGAATGTAGCAACCCAGTGCCTGTTAGCTTATGTTTACAAGAAGAAAAAATAACATTTAGCATTTTCAACAAACTGGTAAATAGTAAGTATACCTATGGCAATTCTGTTTTAGAAGAACAACTTCATTTATCCTTTTAATCTGGCTCAAAATTAACCTGCACAATTCTGTTCTCAGTTGGTACAGTTTCCATGTGAAAATAACTACACAATTTTACCCATTAGTAGACTGAAAAAGATATTCTGTCATAGACTAATAAAACATTTTCTTATTTTTCTACTGCCATTGTAGAAATGGTCTAAGTGAAAATCATACAGTATTTGACGTTCACTTGTCTCAAAGAGGCTTGGTAGTAAATTGCATATAAATTTACTCTATGCAATTACTAAGCACTTTTTTTCCCCCTCCTCCTTCTTTTTTTTCTTCAAAGAATTCTTGCTTTTACTTATCTAGACAGGAAGCCAAAGAATACATTTATTTCCAGGTAACTTGGAAAGCATGCAATCCCAAGGACATTAAAAATATACACGGGTAAGCCTCAAAGCACAACTATTGCAGGAGAAAAACATTCAGGTCTTGTTAACTGACACTGAGGCTGGTGGGAACAGCTTAGTCAGGCACACATTTGTGGGATCCTGGGCTTATTCTTTAAGATATTAAGGTGCAACCTATGTATTGTACCGCAGCACGCTTTAGGAGAGGAAAAACCCTTCACGTTAAAAACAATTACTTCTATAGAACTTACTGTCTTTTTTTAAAGTCTAGCGTATACAACATTATTGTACTATTGGACACGTCACTGCACTAAATATGACCACGGAATTCAATTACCATCAATAGGATCATGAAAAATGTTATTTTCATCTGCAAAACTTCTGGTGCCTGATATATTTCCGTAATCAAATATTGGTCCTTCCAACAGGGTCACGATATCTATTCGATTAATTTTTGTCAATACAGACGTTAAGGCATCAGCTGAAAAACAAATAAGACACGTCAGAAAAAAGTTCAGTGTTGCAGAACTGTGTAATTGTCATTCTCAGTTACGTTCACATTGCATTCATTATAAGTTGCTGGCGTATGTTTCTGTCCTGATGCCTTTGGTTCTAGCAAACCCCCTCATTTGTCTAAGTATGCTGCCTACTTATTCGAGATATACATCTATGAAGTCTTCCCTCCCCCCAAGTTTAATCATATTACAACACAAAGGCACAAAGAATAAGGTCAGAGAGTTCTTAAAGAACGTATTTACTTACTACTTAAACAGAATATCCTTTTACTGGAGTGTAAAAGGAATGTAAAAATCCTTTTACCATTTTATTTTGAGGAACAGCAGAACAGGTAGCCATATAGGTAATAACGCGTGTAGGGCTATTCGTGTAATACATCGTGAAATCTCATTTACAGTAATCTTCTTGTGAGAATACAGTAATACTGGGAATTACTTTCACGGTGAAAGAGATCAAAGCAGACTCAAATACTGTCTAGGTGTATGCGGATTAGAGAACGGTAACGAACACCATTGACCTAACCCAAAAATCGAAACCTCTCTTTCAATTTGTGCAACTCGAGTGAAACGCACAGATAAAACCAGCAGAATCAGCACAGAATCAGTGTCTCCATCACTGCTCACAGAAAGAGATTGAGTCTTTTATTATGACCCGCAATACTGTGAGATTACCTGACTTTTCTAGACAGCGTATTTCCATTTTTCATGTTCCTTACTATTGGAAAGTTTTCCCTAATATTTTCTTTACTGGAATGTAAGATCATTACTTGTCCTATCAATTATGGATGTGGAGAACAGATTATTTCCTTCTGCATATGTAACTGAATAAATATGACACATATCTGACATCTGGTAAAAATATAACCAAAACTTTTTTTTTCCATCACTGGTTTGCTAAAGACATTCATAATGTTTTCTTCAATGTAAACTATTTAGAGCAGGCAGCAGATGAAATGGACTATAACTTATAAAACCCAAAAGTAACTACTCAAACTTACTTGTAGCATTTTTCCCATCTCTAGTAACCCATTTTTTCAATAACATGAAGCTTTGAGCAATAAGAGAATTTGGATTTTCTACTCGGATTTGATTTATTTCATCCACAGAAAAGTTCAATTCTCTTGCCAGTTCTATAAAGACAAAAAAAAAAAAAAAGGCAAGCAAGAAAAGAAAACAACAACAAAAACACCAAACAAAGCACAAATCCTTCAATCATCCTGTCAGGCTTAAAGATATTATCTTAGATCACACAGATGTCAACAAAACTACCTGACACAAATAGGTAACTTTACAGAAAATGATGAACATGGCATTGCATACTCATAATGTAATTTCCTCAGACATATAATTTTCATTTCAGTCATATCTCTGTGAGCTATTATCATATTTATACCCAGTATGGCACTTAAACATGGTGAAGAAAAGCTCCGTGAAGGCTACCTCATCACTACTAATTTATAAAATCTGGCTTTTTGGTGACTGTTTGTCCTTTGTGGGCTCACTGTGCAGCTCAGCACCGGCACTGTAGCCACCTGTGCCCAGGGAGAGCCAGCTGCTGCAGCCATAAGCCTGTGAAGGGCCAGCTCTTCATCGCAACGTAAGGAGGTAGGGCAGGTGTACAGTTAGGCACCCCGCACGCAGCACCGACCTGCTGGGGCACTGCTGGGCTCCCTGCAACCTCCAGGGCTTTGGGGAAACCTCTGTCCAGATGCAGAGGCAGCCCTGAGCCCCAGCAGATAGATCCTCTCAACTACTTGGGTGAACATCTTGAGAGGAGAGCCGTTTCAGCTATTTTCTGTATGAGTTTGTTTGATTTATTGCAAGACCACGGGATAGTTCCTCACAGCCTTTTCCTATTAGGCAGCTTTGCCCAGCAACACGTTGCATGTTTTGAGAGGCTGGGCTCACTGTTAATTCGGGAGAGCCTGACGCTGCCTTGCTGCGGCTTTTGATAAAGGATTACCTGGCAACGTAATAGTGAAGACTGAGTTCAATATTAAAGCAGAAAATCTTACCTGTCCAGCTAAGTCCTAGGTGATCGGCTACAATTGCCATCCTTATATCTGTCCGTTCACATGGACTCTGTGGACCTGTGATTTACAATTTCCCGATTAAAAAGGTTTTGCACAGAAAACCACAATACCGGACAATGGTTTATTATAAATAATAGCTTTAATTTGACTAAGTTACTGGTGCTCATATTGTTTACTAGAATGGTTGTGTGTCCTAATAGCCTACAAAGCAAATTTTTTTCACAGCTTTTATATTTTCACCTGTGTAAAGCCAAATGTCAAACTACATGATGTCGTGTAATGAAACCAAACATGCTGACAATCTAGCTGTTAGACTGTACACAAGTTTTTCAATGACTGGTGGAAACCACCAAGACCAGATTAACATCTGTTTTCTCTACTTTGACAGAATAAATTTGCTGTCACAAAATAAATCTTTCCATTTCTGAGTTACATCAATTTCTGAGTTACATGAATGTCTTTGGCATGCTTCACTAGCTTTCTATAGCACAGGATTTTTTTAAAGGAAGAAAGAAGAGTATAAGACAGCACATACAGATGACAATGACAGAATGAAAACTACAGTTAAGTCACTCCACAGGCAATCACAACAGTTCATGCACTAGGATCAACAAGTTGAAAGTTTTACAAACTAGGCTTGATCTCCACGAGGTGAGCCATGAGAGCTCCAGAAACCTGACTGCCTTCATTCTCACCAGTCCTCTTACTCCTCCTCCTCTCACTGTCGGCCTTTTCAATCTTTGATTTTATAGGTGCTGCCTCTGTTCTCATGTCTCTAGCAGACTTCGATGTAATGGAAGGCTGGTAAACTTGAGTAGCTTCTGAAAAAGATGTGTTCCTTGATGTACTGTCTTCTTCATCATCAGAGACCTCTGACTGCATCTTTTTCTCTTCATCAGATAGACGATCCACAAGCTTTAATGTCTCACCACTAATTCCCTTAAAATATTCAATAGAATGTTTACATACCTCCCTAAGCTGATTTTTCCTTACTTTAACTGTTGTCATGGTGACGGAGGTAGATCTTACCTTTACTGGTAATTTAGAAGGAAGCTGTTTTGGTTTTTCTTTCTCTACCTGCTCTTGTTTTGGCAGGGCTGGAGTTCTTCTAGCTAGATTACTCCTATGTGTATTTTTTACAGGAATCCTAGACCTTGCTTCTAGACAGGGAGAATTGTTTTGTTTTGCTTTGTCAGGCTTACTAGCCCCTCTCACTTTACTCCCTGTACTGCTTTGGAGATTACTTTGTGAAAAGACTTCTTTTACTGAGCTGGCCTTTACAGGAAGCTTTGATTTTCCTCTAGCCCCTACCAACTCTGTTGACTTTTGCTGCTCTCCTTGTGGCTTTTGCTTATCTCTTACTCTGTGTCCTTGTGTTGTCCCTGTACCTTTTCCTGAAGTGCTTTTCGCTTGATTAGCTTTCTGGAGGGAACATTTCGGTTCCAAACGTTCTTTTAGCACTACATTACAGGTAATATCATCTGTAGGGACAGCAGATGAATCCAAATTGTTGTTGTTATTAAAATTATCTTTTGGAAAATCAGTGTTTTCTGTTTGCCTACAGCTTGTCTGGCTAGAAGCTGAACTCGCAATCACTGCTACAGTTTCATTTTCTAATCCCTGACCACTTGGCATCACAGCTTCTATCTTATCTGTCACTTCGCCAGGGCCATCTTTCTTCAGAGTCATGGTGGAAGCAGAAATTCCCATTTTAATTGGTGTGCGCAATTTGGGATCAACTTTAGAAGCGTTTACTGCTGCCGATGATTTTTCCAGTGAGTTACTACCAATTGTTTGTTCCATGCAATCTCCACTGGCCTGGATGACGGGCTTATGTTCAACTGCTGTTGTTTCTACTGGTCTCTCTAGGTTTGTTTCTACAGTGCTGTCCCCTGCCTGTGGCTGTGTGATGGCAGTGATTGTACTTTTATCCCCTTCCCCCTTGTCCCCTGACTTCCCTTCAGAAGTATGCTCACCAATCTGAAAAAATTGGAGTCTTTCTTCAACAAAATCCCTCTTGCTCATGTCAATTGCACCACTGCGAGTCATCTCAAACATCTTCCCTTCATGAAATGGGAAGGGGTTGGGCTCGCTAGTTGGCGTACTTTCATCTGTTGGAGTTCTGGCTGGAGTTGTATCAGGTGTTGTTGCTTGAGATCTGTCTTCCACTGCCAGACCAAATGGCTTAGCCTCATCATCCCTCGATTTAGTCTCAAACACTTCATCATCACTTCGGTTATTGGACCACGGATCAAAATCTAGACTCTTGGTGGCCACCGTTTTGAAAGGTGTCGCAAATTCTTCATCTACTTTGTAACTGAAATACGTATCAGGAAATACAGTCCTGTCAGGGTGTCTGCCTTCCAAACTGAAAAACTGTGCCCCTGACTTCTGTTCACTCTTATCTCCAGCTCTTTCAGAAGCTGGACCCTTCAAAGGTGCCTTGTCTTCTTCAGGGCCTATCTTGCCTTCCTCCTCAATGACTTCAAGCTTACTCTGGCTAAAGGAGCGATCAGTTTGCTTTAGAATGCCTTCTGTAGTCCATACGTCCTTTTTGGTTTCGACTGCCGGACCTGCAAGTTTAGAATCACTCTCAGTTAAACCATCATCTTCATCTTGCAAATCATAACCATCAAGAGAGTCAATCTCAGTCGCATCGGTATCATGGGAGAATTCTGCAGTGGTTGCTATGGAACACTCTGTGACAGACTGGTCATTATTATTCCCATTTTGCACTACATCGTTCTGGGGTGAATCAAGCCCAATGTCAAACTCATTGGGTTTCCCCGAAGTGGGATGTCCTAACTCTTTCTGTTTCTCAATCTTTTCAGGGGCTCTGGGTTTTGAGGTTTCTTTCTGGTCATCTTCCAGTTCTTTCAGTTTGAACATATACTTTTTAAGTGGAAAAGGTTGATAGAGAGATTCATCATCACTGGAGTCACTGATGTCTGCTCCCGGTGGCACAGGAGATGGCGGCTGTACTCTTATGACAGGTTCAGCCAGTTGGCACTTGTCATGTTCATCTTGCAAGTTCACTTCTGTCATCTCCATTTCACTCTCAGTGGAATAGTGAAGCTTCTTTTCCGACTCGCCTTGATCTGCATCCAGTGGTGGAGGAGGAGGGAATTCAATATAGGCAACTCTGTTACCTTTGGGTCTTTTGTTAGAGTCCTTATTTATGTGGTTAGGCAATGCTTTGTCAATCTGTGGTTCCTCAACTTCTGCCTGTTTTACAGATGTTGACTTAGCCTCTGCTTCCTCCTCTGATTCCTCAGATACCTCAGGTATAGGACTGGGCTTGCCTGGGATATAAGCTATTAGTGAGTCAGGTGTTTTAGACGTAAACTCGTAACTCACTTCCTCTGAACTCGGAGTTTCTGGTGTTAAAGGGCTTTTACCAGAGCTATCTATAAAGGACACTTGTTCTAGTGTGTCATCTTCTGGACTACCTTGTGGAGAAGGAGGTTGTTTTTGCTGCCTAGCTGTGTAAAACGTCCCCCTTGTCTCTTGTACTGTCTTACTCTCCTGACTGACAATTTTTTTTATATTTCCTTGTTGCACCTCTTTCTCGTATTGCTTTCCTACTTGAACAAAACTGACATAAACAGGTAAGGTCTTAATTTCTTTCACTCCCTCACTGCTTACTAGCGGTGCAACTTTATCCAAGAAATCACTGGCACCTGGTTCAACTAACTCACTCGAAGGATATTCCTTTCCTGGACTACATTCTAAAGAGTCTGGTGACTTGCTAGGGGATATCTCCGTTTCCTCAACCGGAGGACTTAAACCTATCGAACTCTGCTGCTTGGTAACTTTTCTGATTTCTGAATGCTTTATTTTTTCGTCTTCCACATAATCAATCTGCCTCTCAACTTTCTCCTTAATCACAGCTGACTGGGATACTTTAGCTGAAAGTTCGTAGACACCATCAAGCATGGTTCTCTTCTCCTCAACAATTCTGACTGGAATATGGGACACAGCAATTTCTTCTTTCCTTTTGGATATTTTATCAGCCACTTCACCATTACGTTCCCCCTCTCTGACAACAAATTCTCTGTATAAAACTCTTTTTGAGGGAGATTTTACAGTCACTTCCTTCACTTCTTCTGAATGAATTCCATTTGCCGCCAGTTTGTGCTCCGTCACAGTGATAAATTCACTTTTTTTATCAGTTTTAGCTTCAGCATGATCAACATGGTTTTCTTTTACTGTATCTGGAACCAGCACATGTGAAAGTTTTTCTTTTTGTGTTTTATGATTAGAAGTTCCAGGACTTTCCCACGTCCTATAGATTTTTTTGTCCCAGTGTCCCTTCGTTGTTGAGTCTGAGCCATACGCCAAGTCTTTTGCCTGTGGTTCCGAAAAGTACTCCGGCATGCCTTTACTCGTCTCAGTTCTTTGGTGGTGTGTGTCAGAAGCATGAACGTCTTCAATAGCTTTCCCTTTACCTGGAACAAAATCTTCCTGTGTTTTCACCTCTTTCTGTAAAGCTGTGCTCCCATCCATGACCTCGACTTGCTTTGCGTGTTTCTCTCTGGAATAAAACTGATACACTGGTAACTTACTTTCTTGGAATTTCTTTACCGGAATTTTGGACTGACTGTCCAGCTTTTTTTCTTCTTGAGTTACGTCCTTACTCCTTGGACTTACACTTTGTTCAAATTTAAGCCTAATGGAACTGAGCTTTGATTGCTTCAGCTGAAATCCAGTCTGTGAAACCTCAGGTACTCCAGTCTGCTGAGCACTTCCTTTGTGTTCCATAGTTTGTTTAGAGTCCTCTGCAGGTTGCACAAATATTCTTTTTTCAGGACTGCTGGGCAAACTGGACGCTTTTCTTTCATCCACCTTGGGAAAACATTTCCCATCGTGTGCGTACTGCTTCGCTTTACTCCATTCGTCACCAGACGATGGCAATTCAGAGAGCAGAACTTTCTCAGGGCTGCTGCTGGCAGAGCTCTGGCTAGAATGTATTTCTTTGCCATTTTTTTTATGCTGCTTTTTCTCCGGAGACTGTAGCTCATCGTTCAACTTCTCTGTTTTATCCCGAAAAAACTGTGATACTTCAGTCAGTTTTTCTTCTGCCTCTTTAACAGTCCTGTCCACCCTGTCTTCATATATCAACTTTTCTCTACCTCTGTCTAATCTGTCCTCAGTAAAGCGCATCCACATCGCGTGTTTTGGACTACTAACATCTCCAGTGTAGTGTAACACTGTCACTTTATCATAATGATCATCTTTGGACATTTTACCTACACCATTTTCAGATACATCTTTATAGATTTTGGAGAGAATCTCTTTTTTGGGGACAGTAGCTACTTTTTCTCTGCATCGTTTATCAGACCCCTGTAACTCTGCACTAAGGGGTAGAGCATGGTCAGTAACTGACTCCTCAGTATCAGAATGAGACACATCTAGCTTTTCTGAAAGAAGCATTTTCTCGGCAAACCTGTAAGACTCCCCTCTTAGTTCTGACAACTCATCATCATGGTATTCTATTGAGTGCTGACTCAAAAGCTTCAGTGTTTTGTAAGAGTCATCAGACATGAGTTGAGCAGAACTAGGGCGACTGTCTTCTTCCTGGGACACGGGAGTGTTAACTCTAGAGGATTCCAGATAAGAAGGAAGTGACTCTTCGGCTGTGAGCTCCTCTTCTTCTTGCTGACCTTGTTCATCCGAACAAGGAAAAGCATCATGTTTTTCCAACTCTTTTAAGTTAATATCTCCCCGAGGTAAGTCTTTCTGATATACATACATTTCTTTTTCTGGATGCTTTTTTGTTTCTCTAATAATGACTTCAGTAGGTTCAGCCTGATTACCTTTTTCAATATGGACCTCTATTATTCGCTCCAGTTTGGGTTTCATTTTGCTGTCCTTCTCTGCATGTTGTGGTGAAGTTTCAGCAGACTTGCTAACATCGGATGTTACTGATGATTTATGTTCAAACAGACCTGCCAGTTCTTTGGAAGGGTCACGTCCAGACTGAAAGGCTTTCATTATATCATGAACAGACATTGTTTCCTCAATTCTTTCAGACGTGCTTTCAGTGCATGGAGGTTTATGATAAACCATCCTAGTCGTCGTAGTGATATGAGTTTCTTCTTTTACTCGGACACCTTTACTAAGAACACACTTGTGGTCATCTTCTTCACTGCTGCTAGCTTTCATCTGAAAAGCTTTAACCTTCTCTTTAATAGATCCAGCAGGTTTTTGCTCTAGCTCCATAAACGTAGGGGCAGGTTTTGAGGCTGGTAACTCCTCTGCTTTCTGCTCTGGAATTTCTTCGGATGATGGTTCGTAGCTGCGGATAACATGAACTACTTCAGTTCTTGTTTCTGTAATGACAGGAGGGATGGGTACATCATGGAAAAGTGGTTTTGGCCCTGTGCTTTCTGCACTTTGAGGGGCAGAAGGTGTCTTTTCACTTCTCGTTTCAAAGCCGCTGTCAGATAAAGGACTTTTATCTTGATCGTGTTGAGAAAAGTCATCTGGAGACTCTAAAATAGTATCTGTTCCAAAAAAGGAATCTGCAATTTTACATAACTCCTTTTCTGATGTTGAAGGCCTCATGGAGGCTGGAGGCATCTTAAGTTTATGCTCCTGCAAAGCAATAGCTGGTTTTAAAACGCGTTTTTGTCTCTCTTCACCTTCTTTTTTCCCCTCTTCAAACTTGTACTTTATGTTTGTCAGTGAACTGCTACCGATATCATTTGCTAAGTAATCAATAACCTTTGACAAGTTATAATCCTTTTCCGACATGGTTTTAGTTTTAATTTGGACCTTCTCTGGAACAGGTATAGGAGGGCTTGTCAAAGCTTGCTGTCTCGCTTCATCAATCTCCTCTGTACTGAACTCTACCCAGTCATCCTCGGACAGGTGTCCTTGATCACTTTTGGATACTTTAGCCGACCCTTTACTTTCTAAACACACATCTTTTTTCAGAATCTCACTAACTTTTACTAAGTCCTCTTTTACTTTCTCAACAATTTTAAAGGGCTCTTCATCATCAATTCTACCCTCTTTCGGGATCTCAGGTTGGAATGGTTTGTCCTCTGCGACATCTGTCTGCAATATTGCAGTCATTCTTATTAGATCCTCTTTCATTTCAGCAACATCTTTCAGTATCTCCTGACTGGAGGATAAAGAAGATGGTGTGGACAATTTGAGAGCAGAGGGTGCTAAAAACAAGGATGATTTTATCGGAGATGAAGTTCTATTAAAGGGAGGCTGTGTGCGTGCCTCTGTAGTCAATGTTTTAATAGGCGACAGTAACGCAGCAGCTGATTTTGTAAGTGAAGATGACTCTGGGAGCTTCTTCAATGCTGGTTCAGACAAAACATTGACTACAGAATATACTGGCACTGTTATTGTTGATGAAGTTACTGATGAGGTAGTTGCAGATATTGACCCAAGGGCTGTGTACAAAGCACCTGCAGGAGGAGTTCTTATTGACTGGAAAGCTGATGGTGCTGAAGACACAAATGACCTGAGTGGAGAAAATGACATTGTTGTAGCTGTTGAAAACACTCTCTCAGCTGTGTCAGCAACTGCATTAGCAGCACAACTTGCAGAATGTGCAGCTACAGCGATCTTGTCTTGAAGAACAGCTGCAGCTTTGGATCCATTTATTAAGTTGGTAGAAGATGGGTATTTCAGAGGTGACACAGATCCATTAAGCAATGGTACATCTGTGTGCCCAGCTACATGTTTTGCTGGCGATGAGAGAGACGAGGTCATCATGACTTTAGAGGATGAAACAGCATCAACTACTGACTTAGCAGGTGACACCACTGACTTTAGAGGGGACGATAAAAGTGAAGATGCTGATGTGATGACCGATTTAAGTGGCAAACTTGAAGAGTACATGTTAATGTTGGATTTGGGGGATGCTGGAGGCGTCATGGTTATGGACGATCTCTCCAAGAGAGATCCTGCTGTAGTCACTGGAGATGTCCGAGAGGGGAATGTGGTAGTGGATGCCAGCCCTTTTAAACTAGCAGCTTCTGTGACTGCGGGAGCTCTGACGAAAGAGCCTGAAGTAACCTGTATATTGTATGGAGGCTGCGATACCACAGTTTTTATTGGTGAAGAGATTGTCCGAAACGATCTAATCGGAGATGCTACATCACTAACAGATTTAACTGAAGATGTGGTAGAAGCTCCTAATGTGGATTTGATTGGAGAAGCAGAAGAAACAGACCATATTGATTTTAATGGGGAAGCTGTAGGAGTGTTAGAGGAAGAGCTTGATAAGGAAGTAAAGCCTGATTTGGTTTGCCCAGGCACTGTAATTGGAGCTGTTGTCCATGACTGATATGGCCGTGTTGAAAAGAATGGCTTGTATGAGTAAGTAGCAGGTAGAGATCTTGTTGCTCCTGCACTCCGTTCAACTGTTTCTTAAATTGTTAAATTAAAATCAAACATAAAATCAACAAAAATGATTGAAAAACAGAGAGACCAGAGAAGAAAATTGGTCAGTAAACGTTGTAATATTACAAAAAGCAAGTACAATTGTTTGCATGAGTCAGGATGAAGGAGGCAAAAGAAGATTTAAAAAGGAAATAATAAAGTAGGAACGAGCCATATACTGGTGACAGGCCCAAACCAAAAAGCAACATGAAATGAAAGACAGAAAGCACATAGCAACCAAATCTGCAAACAATGAAGAACAGAAAACACAAAGAAGGAATCCATAAGGTAAAAATAAAACCACATCAGAATTTCTTCTCTTACTTCCTATTGACTTTCTGGTGTGTTACTTCTGAAACATTTGTATCAGTACTATTTTGCCTGTTTAGGTATGTCTCTGCTTTGTGCAACTATCAGAATTATCCTTTTAATAATTTCTGTTGTTGTTGTTCTATTCAGATATTGAACCTATACAAAATATAAACTTGTGTAAAATGACATTATATAGCTAAAATCTTTTTTGTTAAACCACTCGGAACTATTTCATGCAGAACCCAAAATTCCTTTAAGTGACAGGCAATTGATGTGCAAACTGTGAAGCAACTGGAATAAATTCAAATCTGTATCTCCCATGCACAATTCGGATATGCTTCACACTCACAAAGCCAATAAGAGCAAGAGCTTTTCTGAGTCAATATTTTAAAAAAATAATAAAAATAAATAAATAAAAGGAACTTTTGAATTTGTTTCTCATGCGATATTCCTTTTGTTTGGTAAAAACTAAAGTAAAACTTCACATGAAATGATTTTAAGAAGCATATGTCATACATGAAATATGGAAAATATGGTATATGATAAACGTGAGCAAGCAAAGCAACTGAATCAGGTTTTATTCATGCACAGTATATCATGTCAAAACGAGCACACAGATTAATACATTTGTATGCTGTATTAAGCACAAATATATAAACTTTACAAAACCATTTCACAAGAGGCCGTTAAAAGAAGAGTACACTTTTTCTACAAGATGTAGTGTCTTGGTACCTTTTGAGGAGTTTTCTTGTATCAGCTCAAAGACAGACCTGTTCAACTTTACATTTCTCAAAAGGTAACATTAGAAAAGCAGTCAAAGAACAATGTGTTATGCAAAAACTTCCTGGCAAGGACAAACCTGTTAACTGTTATCATCCTCCAGAACACTCAGCTTATTAATAGGCATTTCGAACAAAATCATCATCAATCACATTTTGCATCACAGGAGGTACTCATGCCAGAAGACAGCATTTGTGGGAATCCCATTACAGCATACATATCCTCTGATACAGCAGTAACATTCAGAGAGTGGAGACTCAAAGTAACTTAGAGGGCTTTTTTTTCTTTAAAGTTGGACTTAGAAATGGAGTTAAAATATCCAAACAACTTATTCAACATACCTTTCTCTGAGGTGACACTAATAATTTGTCAAACCTGCTTTATCTGTCTTATAGACAGACAGCAACTTACAGTGAAAGAAGCTTAACAAGGCTAATACTAAACTGCTAAACTTAAAAGCACACACACTCTTATAGAATAGTGAATATTCAGTATACCACAGGTCCATATCCTGCAAGGAGCTATGCGCTGGTCCTACAGAAGCCAATCGAAGCCCAGAAGGCACTGTGGATGGCTAGTGATATTGCAATATGAGAACATTTAGGTTGAAGAGAGCTTGAATACTAGGCCTGACTGGCACAGTCTATGTCAAGAAACATTCCTTTTTCCTTGCAATTTTAAGTGCAAACATACTTCTTTTTTCCCCTCAAAGAATAAAACATAGTGTACTTCATTGAATGAGCTAGACTTTATTATGAAGATTAATTAACAGCAGCTGCTAACATTCACCAAAAGTTCTTACAGTCTCAAGTCCAAGAAACAAACCCCAAAATCATTCTGACAAGAACTAACAGCAAAATAACTTGTTCAGAAGTTTGTGTTTGGAAATGTCTTTAGCAGGACCCCACTGCGCTGTGATGAGCCAGTCCATCACAACTGGCTAGTGAGGCAATAAAACCAACAGGCTTCCCTCTTAACTGCTCTTTCTCCTGTTAAATGACAGATTCAGACACGTTTGAGATGCTTTTTCTGTGTTTCTTATTGCAGTTGAGAAGAGCTGGTACAAAGAAAATTGAGTGATTTACCAGTGTGTGCAGCTATGACATAACTCAAACAGCGGGGAACTGGGCAATTTTACTATTTTGAAATAGCAAAGAAATCCCCACAACCATGCAAGACTTTAGAGTGGGAAAATATTTTAAAGAGTTGTTTTATATAACAGCCCTTTTTGGCTACTGGACACTCTTGGCCTTAACAGTTTCCATCACTCTGCATCCAAGATTTTATCAGAAAACAGATGTTAGTTACTACCTTCTGTGCACCAAACTACACGTCCTTGCTTGCAGCTGGTAATTGAAAGCGCTGAGTGGCCCCATACAAGTGGCCCCAGCTCAGCTCAGCTCCTCTTCAGCTGCAATCAAACAGCCAGGACTGAGCAAACTTAACCAATGCAGCACTCTTCTTCTGTGGGGACCTCATGGTTGGGAAGAGCAGAGAGGCCCTTTGGTCCTTCCCTGAGCAGAGGTAAGGACAGGGAGGCAGGTGAATATCCCACCTGCCTCACTCTCTTCTGCACTAGCACTGGCAGGGGTGCAAAGGGAAAAAAATCTGTATATGGGTACATGCATGCATGCATGAGCTTGTGTGAGTAAAACAGAACAACCCCTGCTGCTACCAAAACTGCAGGAGCTGTGCCATCAAGTTCATTGGAAATAGGTAGAGATTCATCACTCATATCCAATAACTGGAGCAAACACCCTGCGGTGTAAAGCAGCCACAGCAGCAGCCCTGGCTCTGTGCTGAGTAGCGTGTGCTTTCTAGAAGAGCTGCATCTCCAAGACCACATCCTCACCTCACACCAGCATGGGGCAGGTGACAGTGGCAGTTGCTAACTACATGCTACACGTGCACAGGAGGTGGCACTCAGACTGATGGCCAGACCACTATCTATGATCTTGCCTGGCAAACACAATAATTTTTGCACACCCTTTTTGGGTGGCTCACAGCCTTAAGCAGTACACATTGCCAAAAGGGATAGAATAGTTAAAGAATGGTCAGGAACTGCCACTGTGTTAACCCATCTTTTTTTTTTTGTGCGCAGCTCAAGCAGGTTTAGTTTTTTTCCCCTCCAACTTTTTGCAAATGAAACTTAATGGACCTTTGGCAAATAAATAAGACTACTTTTTCCCCTTCCCTCCCTAATAAGACCTGAAAAACTAACTGTAATCAACATACACAGTCATCAAACACCTTTCAGGCAACTTCCTTTTCCCGCTCTCTCAGTTCCCATCAAGCCTTTGACGATACCTTAACCGTCCATTCAAGATGTCTCAGCAGATCTGATAGCTTCTTCAGATGTTATATGCTTGAAGTCTTCTTCCAGGCCTGAGAAGTGTAATATATTCTGGAGCACATCTGATCCAAAGAAGCCACAGATCTTAGAGGATAATTAAACAGCAGCCATCCAGTGGGAACTCCCAAGACCCGATGAAGTTTGTCTATGGATTTTATGGAATCATATCAAAGGGTCTGTTGCAGGGTAGCAACTGAGAAGTCACAATGGAAAAAAAGGCAAGAAAAAGCCTGGGAATGGGTAACAATAGCAGTCAATCTCAGACAGGAGAGGTGAGGGAAGAAAAGCTAAGCCAAATACATTATTGTATTTAACAGGGCAGGAAAGGAATGCCACAGGTCTGGTCAAGGGGAAACATAAGTTTAAGAGGAAGCAATGTGCGGTGCTAGAGAATAAAAAGCATCTGCAGGGAACAGAGGAAAAAGGGAAGGGGAGGAGAAAGAAGAGGGAAAATATAAAATATGAGAGAGTCCATTTTGGCTAAGCATCTAAACATTTACGCACTTATCTGAATGGCACTCTCCAGCCTTGCTGAACTTTTGCATACCACTCCCTTCCACAGCAGCTCTCTCTAACCTTTCAAAGGGAAGAGGAACAGAATTTTTTTGACAGCAATGTGCAATCCTACTCCTATGTGCAATCCTACTCCTCTGGAGATACACGGCATTTGTAAAACTTACTATATTTTTACTAAACTAACACATGTGATTTGCCAGTCAGGATTCTTCAAGCTCTCACAACACAAGAGTTCACAGACCATCCAAGAGTTTTGTTTTAGATAGGTGTTTTTTTCTTTTTTCCTTTTTTCCAAAGTGACACCAAATACAAATTTTATAGAAAAAATGTCTCTTCTTATGTAAAATCATGTATACATTGTTTAGTACTTTGGTAAGAGCAACTCACTCATTCCAGGCTCAGTCAGATAGCTGTAGCGCTTACGTAAAGCAAGGGAGACAAAGTTCTGGCGCCGGTCGGCTTTCTCCGTCTGCAACAAAACATAATTCTGTTTAGTGCCTTTAGTATCACTGTCTCCCAGCTGAACAGAGTAATCACCAAACCTCGGCACGATGGGCCGCACTTTGCAGTACATGTCCCCACAAGGGAGAACGGATGTTTCTCGTTCGGCTTCAGGAAAGCATGCTGAAGCCAAATCTGGGCAAGCAGGCAGGGAATGGACAGGGCCGGTCTCCATTCTTGTCTGCCATGTAATGAGTGTCAGGCACTGTGGAGCAGGGAGCGTGGCTATCGGAGATGGGAGAAACCTGCTGTGAATGACTACCCACCGGAGCAAGCAGGGAAGGGACTGCAACCCTAAGAGATGACCCCACGGGTTTCTTCCTGATTACATCTCTGCTTATGAGGTGGAAGAGCTTAGGCAGCAGATGTAGCCCATGATCCTGCCTCAATATATCTCGATACTATATTATCCCATTATCGTTTGGTATATTAACTGCTTCACACTACTAGAAATGGTATGATACTATTCATTTTCTGCAAAATAAACCACCTTTGGCTAGAAACAGGAGATCGACACAGAAGACTACAGATACAGACATAAAACATTTATAAGAATACAACTTAGACCGATCAAATATTTCTCCTCAAATTAATTCGTCCTGAAAGCACATACACCACAATGTACACTGGCTTTAAAGTGAATACATTAAGGACAAAAAAAGGCATGGGAGGGGATTATTTTAATAGGCCCAAAATGCAAAGATGCAGATTAGAAAGCAGGCTACTGTTGTTAACTAATAAATTGAATCGTAAGTCACTGCGTTCAGTGGCATTGCTGCTAGTGTGATGTCTTAAATATTACAAGTCCTTCAGAGATCAGCTCACTTGATTATGTGGCTAAAAATATGGTTTGTTTAGAAAGAAAACTATTGTTATAGCTATATAATAGCTGTGTTTCACTTGGAACAAATCCTGTGGAGACAAAGTGATGTGGTTGCTGCTATTATTTTTTTAACATGTAAGGAGTGTTTGGGGTTTTATTATTTTAATCAGCAGATGGCTACTGCTATTTATTTGCCACTAGGAAGAGAAGAAAACTTTGCTGCTAGGTAAAAGGGATACCTCTATGTAGTTTCTTTTATAAGGTAACCTCATTTATTACTACCTCTAATGTGTAAAACCCACTCAATTTCCTGACAGTCTAATGTTGCAGTTTCCAGCAAGTAGTCTATTTTTAAGCTGCAAATATCTGAGGTTTATTTGAAAATAGATTTGTACACAATATTTAGAAATTGTTCTTGGCTATTTTGCTTTTTCAGAAGAATACAGTTTATTTTCAGAAGTAAAATATTACAGGCCACTATTGCGGCCTCAGCAATACTTCTTTCCTTCTCAGAAATTTAAGTTAGCAAAGCACTGGCAGTATTATTTCAAGAGGTAAAATCATATCCACTAAACTCTTCTTGATTTTGCCAAAAATTTGCTTGGTCTGAATTTTATAATTATATCCTTTTTCAGAAGAAAATGAGTTAAACTTTAGACTGCTATTATTCAATGAGGATATGGTTATTCTGTAGGTATCATTTCAATGCCATAGTTAAAAATAGCTGTTTGTTTTTTCTACAACATATTACTTTTCTTCACTAAATCTGAAGGAAATAAAAACAGAAGACAGTGTTTATATTACCTCATCATCTTGATCTGACTCTGTTTCCTTTTGGTCCCAAGATGCATTGCAGAGACAAGGAATATTATAATGGACAGCAGGGAAAAGAATATCAGGATATGAAAAGGACCAAATTGGGAGCACAAAATGCAAGCTGATTTATAAGGCAAAGCAAATCCAAATGTCAACACAAAAGAAACAAAAAGATCTTACATCCAATGCAAATCAACACGTGACATTACTGAAAGCATAAACCTATGACTTGCAGGCGGAAGCATGAGCTGTAAACAGAATCATAAAAATTATAGGAATTTGACACCACAGTAACAAGAGACTTTAAAAGCGTTCTACATACAGGAAACCAATAAAACATAAATTTAAAAAGCCTTTATCATATTCCAAAGCATTCTCTTTACTGACATTTCACAGGGTTTCTTTATCACTAGCAGGAAAAAAAAAAAAAAGACAAAAACTAAAGGAGCAAAAATAAAACCAAACCAACCCTAAGGAAAATGTTTACTTTTTCTAACAAATACCTTTTTGTGTGCTGGCAGAGTGATATTCAAGTTGCAAACAGCTGTTTGTGGCAGTCCTTTTGTAGTCTTTGGTTCTTTCAAAAATGATAGTCGACCACAAGGTTCCTGGCTGGTGTCTCTTACCTAGAAAACAAATTTTAGTACAGTATAGTAATATGTAGTAATTCAGATACTTAGAAAAGGTTTCTGGATAGTTTCTCAGAGTTTCTTTCTACAAGAAGCTGTCTAATGGGTAAAGACCAATGTTACTGAGCTGAAGCTCAGCCTTACCTGCTGAAGGAGAAAAGGTGTTACCATGATAGAGTTAGATCAGCCTAAAGCTCTGGTGGTAAATCCATGCAAGACAAGCTGTTGAGTGAGTACAACCAGATAGTTTTATACTGGGATATCACGGAGAGACATTTTCTGCTTACCTTCATTTTTTTCTGCCAGGTTTTGCACTTGTGCTCATCAAAATACTTAAAAACTTCTTTTGCATGGCAGCTATGATAAGACTAAAGAAAGTGAGCATCTGCTCATGGTAATTTAGAGATGAACAGTCTGCACACAGTTTTTTGGAGGCTGTTCTGCTGTACAGTATGTTTTTGAATGTATGTCCTTTGCTTAGTCCCTGGGAAATAGTGATCTACTAGTAGTATTCTGGAGGTTTAACTTGAGATATGGTTTTAATAAAAGGCTGTGAATCCATAACATGGGTATTCTGGTTCCAGCTCTGCCAGCAGCTGTTTTGTGGCTTCAGGCAAAGCACCCTGTCCATGTCATTCACATATTAAACAATGACGATTACATCCTTGGAACAAGTTAGTCCTATGGGGCTGAAAAAGTGTTATCATTAGGGGGGTGGGGGGAAACATCAGCAGAATTATTTGGCTTGTTTTGCTTTTACCTTGATAGAGAATGGCAGTCTATTTTCTTTGAAAGCATAAAAATTAAAAACAAGCTGCTGTCCTCCTTTAGTCAAAGGGGCCAGATTTCCATAGCAATCAACATAAATAGGTTTTCCTTCCAGAACCTATCAAAGGAATAAAAAAAAGTCAATAAAACCTCTTCTCATAGTAGATCCATGCACGTAAGTGTATCCTGACTTCTCCCTCATAGTTCTTAGGCTTGACACAAGTCACCACTCAGATTAACTTAAATTAGAAAATCACTGTGCATTATGGCAAGGTATTACGAGTGCAGGTGGTTTGGGAAACCTACATGAGTGGCTTTTCTGGAGTAAGAATGCATAGATTTCCTTCAAGAAACAGTGCTTGTGACTATGTATTCACCACAAACCAGCCCTACTCATGACCGTGTGTCTGTGGGGCCAATGAGAAGCAATCCCAGGTGAGCCATCTGCAAAGCCCAACCAGGGCTACTTGACAGAACTGCATGCAAAACTGACTGCAGCCTGGCCTGGGGCATCCATTTGGAAACAGGTCCACATGCTCCCCTTGCCTTGTCCTTTTTTGGCCTCCTTTAAAGAAATTTTTTTACATAGCCTTGCTGTGAGCCTTTAACTGGGCATATAACAGCTTTTGCAGAACCTGTTGTCACTTGAAAAACACATTTGTCCACTGATAAGGAGGAAGCCAGCTGTGGGTAAGAAATATACCTCAATGTCTTTGCTTCTTGCAACTTCTTCGAAGTTCTCTTGTTGCTCCAAAGTTTTGTCCACTTTGTCATCGGTCATGCAGAAGCAACGCAAATTGGATTCCACAGGGTCATTCATTTTGGCAAATATCACAAACTTTGCCATATAAGGAACACATATTAATTCTCTATAAAGCTGTGTTGCCAACCCAACAGTCTCTAGTACTTGATGGCAGTCTGCGAGCCAAAATCTGAGTGGGAAAAAGCAAATCATCAAATCAACCTTTCATTATGCTCAAACAGGGCTTAAGCCTTTAAAAAGAAACCATGTCCCGTGATCCTTGGCCATTTTGCATGCATACTGTCCTTGCAGACTTCCCAAAGCTGTAGCTTTCCTTCTACTTTAAGTGGAGCTTTAACCCTCTGAAAATGGGAATGCTTGGCAGTGACCGTTCTCACATTGGTATCTCATAAAACTGTCTCTTTTAAGCCTCATTCGAAGCCAAAGTGGGGAAACTGTATTTCTTTTGACCACATACCATCAAATCATAGAATGGTTTGGGTTGCAGGAACCTTAAAGATCACCTAGTTCCAACCCCCCTGCCATGTGCAGGGACACCTTCCCCTTGATCAGGTTGCTCAAAGCCTCATCCAACCTGGCCTTGAACACGTCCAGGGATGGGTCACCAACAAATTCTCTGGGTAACCTATTCCAGTGCTTCACCACCCTCAGAGTGAAGAATTTCTTCCTTAGATCTACCCATTTTCAGTTTAAATCCATTGCCCCTGTATATTGTAACATGCTGATGCTTCACTGTACATTTGATTTGCTAAAACAACCTACTTGATAACATATACATACAGCAAAATCACATCTCCCATATAGTTTGAAACCAAATATGCTCATCCCAAAGGGATAGATGTGATACCACTATTTTTTTATCTTATGATTAGGAGTTTGATTGCAATTTTGATACAAGTTATAAATATTTTAATTTGTAGTTTGTATGAGTCTTTTCTACAATATTTCAGCCCTAATCTATTTGGTTCTTTCAGCAATTCTCTCTCTTTATAAAGCTTTTTATAGGTGCAAATGTTATGTACTGAACAATAAACTGTTTACCTGGAACACCACAAATATTCTCCACTAGAATGCAGATCCAGTTGAATGTCTCCAATCAGCACGTAAGTCCACTAAGTCCATCAAAATTCATTTCAAATCATGATTTTTTGGTAAATGATGTTTTTGTGAAAGTATTTTTACATAATTTTCAACTAAAAAGCCCACAGCCAGAAACTGAATGTCTTTAACTTTTTAAACAAATATGTTTTTATGAATCCTCATAATTTTTTTATGGAATGACTATTTTAAATTCTCCCTTGCTGTTGCAGTTTGCAGAAAAACAAACTGCTGTGTGGTACTGCAGCCTTTAGAGAAACAGCATGTGTGATTGCCAGAAGACATCACCGCTGCAGAAGAGGCCAGGACAAAGCTTCATGTTCAACCCCGAACGCGTGGGATGCTGATATATAGTGACAAAGAAGCATCTGGTCCATTACTGCTTCATCAGTCTTGCAAAAGCCTTACAGAAAACCAAAAAACCACCTCACAACTGTTAATCAAGGAGAACTGCTCCCTAGGTGCATTTGGCAGGCTCTGTTACCGTACCTGGCTGAAACATTGGTTGTGAATGAGACACAGTCATTTGAGAACGTCAGCGGAGTGGTGCCCGTGATATCCTCCCACTGCGCAGGCGAAGTACCTCCTACGTAAAGATAAACCACAGGGATTGTCTTCCAAACAACCAAGCATATACAGGATACATAAGAATATCTATCTCAGGTTATTTTGCTTCACCATAAAAAGTGAACTTGGACAATAGCTTTCTCCAAGAGCTGAGCTACATGTTATATATTACGTCATATGTTACATACTAGAAAATGATGCTGATGTAAGCAAAGTGCATACCTACAAGTCAATAGTAAACTCTGCCTTGATATCAGCCGCGACAGAATTATTTCTGCAAACTACTTGTACTGACAACCATGTTTAATAGCCAAGGCTGAAATTCTTTGTACTGGCTAAATATAAACTAGCATTTAATATCTGTTGGCAGAGTTCTTTTACAATGACATGAGACCAGATTCAAAGCCCAGGAAGTCAATGGAAGCCTTTCAAATGACCTCAGCTGGCTTTGCTCAGGAGAACTACTCTGAACTCTACTGGACCACGCACACCAATATTCCCTTACTGGAAAAGACGAGTTGTACAGCTGGGAGAGTGAGTGCAGAGGCACTGCTGTCATAGAACCCTTTGCAAAGAGCACAATTTTATCTAACCTGTAATGCTACATAGAAGTCGAAGGCTAGGCGTCGTGTCTCCTTTGTACCCATTGGTTACGCCTTCTCCTGACGGAGGCGGCACAGGAATTGTCATGGTTATTGGCTTATGAAATTTTCTTCTTCTGGGCTCCACAGTGACAATGGGACTGAAAGTTGCTTTGTTTCCAAGGATTTTTTTGACAATCTCCTCTGGAACTGGTTGAGCCTGTCAACAGAAGGAAAGTATTTAAACTAGAGCTACAAACTGGTTGTAGACATGCAGAAATGTTTTCCAAAAGATAACTCAATTTTCCTATTATTTTCTGTATAATTTTATTTCTTCCCCACCCCCCCCACTTTCTCCTATAGCTCTCGAGTGATTATTAGTACTATTCATACTTAGTACTTTTCTCAACAACCCACTTATGATTTCCTAATAGCTAACTTGTAGAGCAAAGTTATAAATCTCAGAAGGTTGCCTGCAGTATTTGCTGAGAGGTTTTCGGAGCATGTTTGGTTTTGGTTTTAATTTACAGTGATGGGTGATATTAAATACAATTTCAAAATGCAAAAAAGGCCTATTTTGTTAGCAGAGTCTTGAGAAGTGAGGACTAAACACTCTTGTCTTGGAGATGCAGAACAATTCTCACATCTCTGACACACACAAATCCCTGTTCCTGAGGAACACTGCATACTTGACTTATCTCTGTCCCCAGTGCTTCCTATGCTATCCCACTATTGATTATTAGGAAAGAAATACTTGTTTGGGTCAAATTCCTAGAGAATGCATCAAGCTATGGCAGAACTGTAAGCAAATTTCAGGCTTTCTACCTGTATTTTGTGCCTTGATAAGTTTCCTAACTTTATATGGGAAGAAAGGAAAAACAGCCAATATGGGAAGAAATGCCATAGAATTTTTTTAGTTTTTACCACGTAAGACCTGAACTCAAAAGTGACAGATACCTTATGGGAAACTTTGGGGTTTGTATGCATTTGCATTTATTATTTTTCTTTTAAACTTTCAAGTCTGTTTCAATCAGGCGGACCTGTGACATGCTGCATTATTCAAAACTGCACAATGTATTGACATGCACACCCTAAGCCTAACTACATGGCAGTTTCAGCAGTGACAACACTGCATATGGAGACATTGTGCTTCCTTCACACTAGATAGCTCTGGAAAGAAAGCCATATAACCTAATAGCAGAGCTTCCATGTTCTCAAGATTTATCATCTTTAGACATGAAATATCATTAATAGAAGAGAAACGTTCCAGCGTGAATTCCAAGCATTGGAATCCAAACCAGCATCTCTATTTCATGAACCCATCAGACTTGTCAGGTTATTAAGTAATTTTATGTAACAATTAACAGAACTCAAAGCAAAAGATACCTCCTATGGAATATTTCTCTACTTTCTCCGCAGTTCATTTAAGGAGTGTTTAAGCTATTTGCTCTTTCCAGATTCCATCCATCGCTGGAAACGCCAATGGCGAATGCTCTAAGCTACAATAGATATTTATAGGAGGTCTTTGACCCAGAAACAGCTGGCAAACAGCTGCATAAGCTCCTTACCAAACACATTCCTATGGCAAAAGGCAGCCCAGTGACACCAATCACAAGCTCCTACTTGGTCACAGGAGGCTGAGACTGCACAGAGGCTGCACAGCTCATAGCTGCTAGCAGCTGCTGCCATCAGGAAGATGGCAGACAACATCACAGAGGCTGTGGTGGCTCCAGGCCTTTACTTTTCTCTCCCTTCTTCATATGCTAAGCAATAGTGGAGGTGACAATGAATGGGGAGCTGGGCTTTTGCCATGGCTGGGAGACGTGTGCATCACTCACACCAGAGGGGCACTGAGAGGCAGAGCACGTACTCGGGCAGACACACACCAGTTCAGATCTTGAGGGTGAACACTACCCACCTTGCAACCCATTACTAAGGAACAGCACGCTCCTTAGCTGCAAGTCTCATGCATTAAGACCGACAACAGGCTTGTTGATGCTGTGGATATGAACACAAGGGCACCATTACCTGGAGACCCACGCGGATTCTCTTGGTTAGAGCACCCTCAGGGAAGGACGCCTGGACGCGCGGCACCGTTGTGCTGCTCAGCACCCCGCCCTCCGGGCCAATTTGGTTACTCTCCTGCTTGATTCGTGAAACCACCGCGAAGTACTGAGGGAAATCTTTTGTGACAATCCTGCAGATACGCTTCTTCTCTAGCTCCTCAGCGCTGTCCAGCTCTGGTGGGAGAAGACAGTTAAGAGATTCAGGCATTACCTGCCCAGGTTCCTAATTAGACAAATCTGTGAGAGAGTGTGAGGTTTGAATATACTTTAAAATGCCTGAGAAGATTTTTTTTTTTTAATTTATTTACTACAGGACAAAATTAAAATTCAGTGCTATTAATTATCAAGCTTTGGTTTGCTCTGTTAACTTTTGCATAAACCTTGACAATGAGGGCCAACAGCATCTGGCACACAGATCTGCCAGGACACCTAAGCACTAGGGTGTGACAATCTCTGCAGCAGCAACTGCTGTAGGATGACAGGTTTGTCATCCAGCGTAGGAGTCCACGGAGGTCTGGAGGAGGTGGTCAAGCTTCTTTCCTCTCCCGTCTACATCTGGAAGCACACAAACGCAATGATCTTTCCTCGCATACCTTGAAAAGACATTTATTTCCAGCCTCTTCCCTCACATAGCTCCATCATGCAGAAAGCCACAGGAAATCACAGACAGTTCATGAACTATCTAACTTCACACCAAGTGTGCAACCCAGAGTTTGCCCAGCTAAAGCACTTGAGAAAGTTATCTCCTAGACTGGCATCCATAAAATCCTGACTAGACACTGAGCTCTCTGCTAAATTGTGGCTGTGACAGAGCTCTGTCTGCCAGCACTACCAATGAAACCATATCAAGGATCCCTTCCCACATCAGGCTTTCATCTGTTTGGGTATCTGCCCCAGCATAACTGCATTGTGCTTCTCAGTTCCTAGAGAAACTTAATGCATCCTCAGACACAACTGGAACAGAAACAGGTCATCAACACTTAGTGCCGTCAGCCACATTCCCAGCTCATAGGGTCACCAGGGCTCAGAAAGGTGCATGGAGTATCTACCCATATTAACTAATGAAGTAGATGACAGACATATATGCACTGAGGAAAACTGATACGTCACAAATATAACTAATTACGCAACTATATATGTGCTTGTATGTGCACTAGTGAAATGCCTGTGATATAAACACCGTTCGCAAATGGAGATAATTACACAACTGTCATGCATTTCTCCTCCTGTGATTTCTTGCACTTGGCCTTTTAGCCGTTGTAACTGGGTTTCATTCCAGCACTCCGCAAGTTACCTCTCTCATTTTTCTCCTTAATAAGGGCACCACATTCCTAAAGAAGAAAGTTTGTTCCTCAAAAGCTGACATTTCTATCAGATGCAGAAAGAGAAAACAGGAGGACTAGAAATGGTACCACGACAAAAAACACTTGTAAAATTCTTTACTTTATGCGACCGACATTTTCCTCCTCTGAAAATGTAAGCTCAATTACAGCTCCAAAAGGATTAGAATATAAATTCAGTAAAATGTCAGTTTTCCATTTTAAAACTTTCAGCAGGTAATTTGGATTAATTGCACAGTGTTGCTGTGGATCATATGTAGCTACCAGAAGAGGATAATTTCTTATCATAATGTCAGCTTCCATTTAGTTTTGACTCAGAGATTGATATCTGAAGACCTCTAATGAATTAGGTATTCTGCCTGCAGCCTCTGGAAGCAATGGTTTGTGCAGGAGTCAAACTGGATTCTTAAACTTCCAGAGAGGTATAATCTTGACTGGTAAATCCTATGCATTCTCCTGTTTGTTGCTAGAGATTAAATCCAGTGTAAAATGCTTACAGAGATGAAGGATAATTAAAATTCTTCTGAAGCAGAAAATTAGTGTTTTATATAAGAACATTTCAAAACCCTTTGAGACTGGCAGGCATTCTCCTTTAGAGGAGGAAGATGTGAAGATTAAAGTGGTAGAACAACAGTCAGGCATGGAGAGGAGTTGGACTATATATAGGGAGATTATGTCCGGATAAAACACATGTAATCTTCTATATGAAGTTGGCCTCTAACAGAAAAAAAAAGATGATAAGCAATCAAACCACCTCCCTGACTGGCATGAGAAACGCAGTGTTAGCGTGACAGAATTAACGAAACAGGGAAAACTAGTCCTGGGAAAGGTCACGTTTCCTGAACACACCTCACGCATTTTACAGAAAGAGCTATCATCATTACTACTTTCCTCAGTTGCTGACACTTCATTCCTATGTAATGTGTTTCAGTTAAAAACCTCAAAGGATTTTTGGTTGGTTGGGTTTTGTGTGTTGGGGTTTTTCTCACCGGAGAGAAGTATGCTATACACCTCGTCTTACAGACAGGGATGGCAAACCAGAGACAAGTAAAGAAAGGCTTGTGGCAAGATTGCGAAGAGTCTCCCAACATCACTGTCTCCCAGATTTGTGCTAACAGCCCAAATACCTATGGCCATTAAGTTTTAGTAAGTCAAGAGAAAGGTATTGCGAGTACTCTATGCATATATGTCTTCGCCTGCCACCCAAGTGTATGGTACACTTATCCTAAGGTGGCTGGTGGGAGTGATGGAGGAGACATGAGAAGGAGAGAAGGAAAGGAGGGAGGAAAGGAAGATCACTCCTCCCCACCCTCTAGTCCATGCTGCCACATAAGCGTTACATTAAGGTTTCTGGACAGGAGAAGAGAAACCCATAAATGTCCCCCAAGGTCAGAGAGGGATCTTACATAGGGTGGTTCAGTTCAAGGAAAGCAATCACACCAGTTTTGTCAGGTGAGAGGTAGCTGGGGATCAAATTCATCCCATGTCTAACACCTTTCTTTTTTACTTTCAGATGAAATAATGCAGAACAAGTGCCTTCTGATTGGAAACAGAATTAAGAGAAGTCACAGAACATCTGGTTGTTTCATGAGCTTCAAGGTGTCTTTGTGTGATCTGATACCCGATTTCCCTTATTAGGGCCTTAAAGGAGTTTTGCCAGCACTGAAAAAGTAAATTTCACCTCTACTTAGCAAACTGAACAGCTCTGAGTTTTAGAACCCTCCTGCAGTACTGGCTAGAGCAGAGCTGGCCTTGTCACTGTGCAGAGAGAAAGGTGGGAAGAGCACAGGATACCAGTTTTCCTCATCCAGGGATGTCCCCATTAAGAAATTTTTGCACTGAAAGTGGGCCACCCAGGAGGTAGAACTCACATGGAGAAAAGCACAGGAGTCAGATGGAGGCAGAAAGAGCACATGGCAAGGGGCAAGGAGAAGCTGAGGGCAGTGAGACTTGTCTTGAAAATGCTGGTAACTAGACCTACCCTCCCAGCTTTAGTGCTTCACACACGTGACTAGACGTTCCCAGTGCCACGAGGAGGTCTCATCCTCAAATAAGGTAACATCCTTTATATGCTCTTTCGCTTATTTTTGCAGTCTCTTGTCTTGCCATTCACAACACAAACTTTAACAGCAAAATGTTTAAAAAACTTTCTTGGAAATGTGGCAAAATCACTGCAAAGTGATTTATGGTGGTATTTTAAACTTCAAGCATAAACAAGGTCACACTCTGGTTGATCTGTAGATTCAAAGAAGTAGTTATGTAAAAACTCCTGCTTCCCATCTGAAACCACACTGCGCAGCTGCAAGCATACTGTAGCCACAAATATTTGCATTTCTTGGCTCACTCACTAGTTTGCAAATGCCTGTCAAAAGATTAGCCACCCCAGTGCGTGCATTTATGCCCACAATTTGTCTACAGGTACCTGTAAAGGGTGCAGGAATGTAAAAAGCAAACACAAGTTATACCTAAAAGGAGCCTGGCTGAAAATGTAACCTATTTACTAATTATAAGACAGAGAGCTTTCTCCTAAAAAAAAAAGAATAAAACCCCAAAATTTCACTTGATTCAAGGTTAAATAAACTTAATATGGGCAGGAGCTGTGAATTGCTACCCTTGTGTTCGGAGCCAAACTCCTCCTCTTCCTAAAAATGCCAAGTTCCCCTTATTCCCTCAGCCCTGTATTTGCCTAAGTACAGCATTATCTTAACAATAAAAACTATTTAGGCAGAAACCTGACGGCATCAACTCTTTACATCACATTTCATTGTTTTTTCACGATAACAAAAGCAAAGTTCTGCTATTATTTAATCCTGCATTTAGTGCCCTGAAGTGTTGCCTCCTGCTCTGGATTATTTTGAGACTGAGATGAGGTTTTCCAGCAGATGGTGCTGCTTCCAGTAAAGAACAGACAGGTTTGCAGCAGTCCCCAGGGAGAGCAAGGAGCAAAGATGTCCTCACTCTCATCCCTGCCGGCTAAGCGAGAGAGCAAAACAGGAAAAACAAAACAAAGAAGCAGATCGCATCTTTAAAAACACAGCATATTAAGGAGCTGGGAATAAAAGCCTGATTGCCCTCCTTCACTACACCGATAGGAAAGAACTAGTGAATCGCAGCAGGTCTAACACAAGATGGACCAGCTGCTTTTAATAGAAAAACAGGCACTCCTGCAGCATGTTATGGCATTTAGAGATGACTGCAGATGAATTTTCTTGCAAAGACACGCTCAGCTGGAAATGAATGACTATGTGGCTCCTTTTTATTACAATTAAAGGTTGATTCTGCCTCCAGAGTTCGTACCTGGAATAAAACTTCTTCCGAAGTTATGGCTTCGGAGATGCAAGATACTGCTTCAGAGCCAAGTCTAATGGTGGAATTTTGCAAGAAAACAGTAAAAGTTTGGATGAAAAAAAAAAAAAAACAACTCACTGTTGATTCTACAAATTTGTAATTTTAGCCTATTACTTAAAAGACCATTTACACAGAAAAGGCGTCATTTAACTGGAGCAGAATTTTGTCAAGACCGTTGTACTATTTTAGTACAGAGTGTTTTTTTGTTTAGTTTTTCTAACTAGAGAAGGATTAAGCTAAAATGAACAGAACAAATAATCAACACAATTCTCTGAGTGTGTCTGCAGTATTTTTCTCCCTTCCCCCTCATAAATGATTGCTTGGATTGGTAAATGGCCTTCCTGCAGCTTGGCTTTTAAAGTGCCAAATACTTTCACCCTAATGGAATGGCCCAGTGTCCATGATACTTTCTGTGATTCACTGGCTGTACATACACCTGCGAACCTCAAAGAGCAGTTCCCCACAAGGAAAGAGCCATGAAACCCTCAATGGATCTGAATGTTGCACTCTGGCTCCAGATTGTGAAGTTTATTGTTTTAGGCTCTAAGTACTGAGGGCTTCATGCCCACCTCTCTCAAAGTGTTTTTATTTATTGAGCTCTCTTCTCTGTAAAATGTGAATTTATCCATACGGCACCTCTGGAGAGCTCTTTCCTCAGTGTTACAAGTTGGAGGACTTCAGAACAATGTTTTTGTGCGCAAATTTCCTATCTCAAAATTGAGCTAAGCTCAGTTTGGAAAGCACATGGAGCAAATAAGCAAGCTGCTGATCAGTTCTGACTATCTCACTACTGTCAAGGCACTGATACTTCACCCAAATGCCAAGTCATTTTCTTATCTCATGCTAGCGTGAAGAGAAGGTGGGGGGTGGGGGTGAGATTTTTGTTTCAGAAAGGCTGCAACTACTGCCTTTGATTCTGAAACAATTCTTCCCCAAGCAGCAATATAATAATATTATAGCAGTAATATAATAAATATAATAAGTGGGCAACGCTCACTCTTTTGCCTGCTTCACTGCTTTTAGGTACCCTTCTGTGATGAGGTTTATTGCATTTTTCCAAACCCACTGACCCAATATTTACACTGTTTCTGATTGATTGGTTCTATTATATTTATTTTGAAATAGTTAGTTTCAATAGATCATCAAATAACGAGCAGATCTTTGCCATTATTCTATATTTTTACAAGCTCATGAGCAGCTGAAGTACTGTGAAGTGAAAATACAAGCCAATTTTACCATTCTCAGATGACCAGGAAATCAGTAAAAATGCTAAATCTCAGAGATCTAGATAGTCCCTCACAACAGCACTATTCTCCCTTCCATGTTCTCAAAGCTTGCCTTTTACTGAGGCTGCCCTCTGCAAACGAGGCCAAGCTCAAAGGCAGACCTTGCTCACAGATACCTCTCATAGTTGCCATCCACAGCCTGATCATTTTCTTCAAATGCTTTTGCTGATAACAAAAGAACTGTCCTGCAGCTGGCACCCCACCACACTGTGACTTTCGGTAGGAGGTTACCCAGAGAAAATCCTGTGGATAAACCCTTATAGAAAACCAAAGTCCAAACCACAGGCTGTTTCATTTCATTCACACTCGAGTGCAAAGAGCTCAAGCAATGGTTTATCAGCACAAGTACTGAAAAATACTTGCTAGGAAAAGGAAGCGGTGGTGTCCCCAGCCTGGCTTTGCCTGCGACGTGTCCACAGGGACCATCCGTCACAGCACCTTCTGATGAATTGTGTACAGCTGAGTCCTCTCATCTTAAGGGGCTCCAACAAACAGCAACATCCAAGCAAAATGAGGGAGCCAGACTTCCAAGATGGGCATCAGGAAAGCAGGTTGTGTATTTGTGGGAGACAACCTCTAACAATACTGTTTCAAAGAAGAATGGTCTATGGGCTGAGGTCTGCATTTGTGGGAAATGCTCAGGTCTGCATTTTTATTTGTAATAAAAATGATATTTACACTTCACCCTTGGTTTGGAATGACCTTCACATGGCCCTGCCTGAGCAGCAGAAACACACTTACCTCCAGCTGGGATGTTATTCTCAACATCATGTTGTAAAGCAACTGTGCAACTTTCCTTAAACTTGGCAAGACTTCACACCAAAACTTGCCACTCATTTCGGGATGTCTCCGGGCCACTGCTGAACAATTTTTCTTTACACTCTATATGTAACACACACTGTATTCCCCAAAGTCAGATATCCCCTACAATGTTTTACTTTAAGATGCTTTAGTCTGCACATGTTAGCAAGCCTGCAGAAAGGTAGGGCTTGCTAAAGCTTTGAGAAAATGTTTACCTTCATCCATGCCATTGAGTATTTCCGTTAAGTCTTCATGTTTGCTGTCGTACTGGTGCTCCTTCCACGTTTCACCATTTTCACTTCGAAGTACGATTAGTTCTCTTTCCTTTCCTCGCATTGATCCAAAATGCGGGATCTCCACTATGACAGGGCTAGAGAAAAAGGAATCATGTTATTTTTAACCCTACATCTTCTCACTGCCTTTAATTTCCTATGGGCATTAAGTCCTTAAGAAAACTACAGTCATTTTAAACAGTTAGCACTGTTATGGTAAAAATGTTTTTAAAATTGCCAAAGCTGCACAATCCTTTATCATTTAAACTATAATTAATGGATAACTTGAAAATATTAATATATAGCCCATTTTTAATGTAAATCTTCTGAAACAGCTGTCTATATGATCATCAGTGACAACTTTTGCTAAGTAGAGTTCTCCCTGCTCATTTATCCCAGGATGTAGGTGATCCAACCTGCCTCCAGCACACACAGTACTGCTGACTTAATTGGCGTTGGCATTGTCAAAGTTTGGATTTGGCTCAAGGGATTTCGAGGGGCGAAGTTGGTTCAGAAACTGTCCAGCTATCCAAATGCATGCAACAGCTGTTGACTGCAGCAAGAACTGTACATGCATGTAGGTTTTAAACTTCAGACTAAGTCCCAGACTTTTCAGAGAGCTGTCCCCGGCTCTCTGTTGATGCAGCTCCTGTGAAACACAAGAGGTTCCTTCTCGTTAGCTTCGCTTTCTGGTTCTCATGCCCAAAATCACAGCTGCAACATCTGCACTGTAAACATGACTGGGGGATGTTTAGATCCTTTCAGAATGGGTTTCTCTGCGGTAAGCAACATCACAACCACATTTATATTAGTTACTGTCAAACATCTTGAGGGGAAGGAAAGGGAATGAGAAGGTGGTTAATAATACACCTATGTCACCAGACAATGTACCTTCAATGGAGGACTGCAAGCGCGTTACTGAACAGTTATTGTGAACAACCGACAGAAACCACCATTCACTTCATGTGCCATTCCTTAACAAAACAGACACTTTGGCCAAACACTTCACAGGCAGGATATGCGTTTTAAAGTACATTAAGACAAACCGACGAAATCACACAGTAAGGGAACGATTATAGATTATGCAGCTTTAAGACATTTAAATAGACAGTATCATTATTTTCCTACAGAGGTTGTAAAGGATTTCACTGCTTTGTAATGACTCAGTTAAAAGTAGCATTACATGACGGGAGAAGTATGCAGCACTTCTATGGTACTGTACACCTGCAAGGTTTTGGGTGCTTCAACCAACCAATTACCTGAGCATAGAAATCACAAGAGCCATCATGAGGAAAAATATAAACTAGTTGGAAGTCCAATTTTCACATTAAATACCAAGGGAGAAGAGTTAGATAGCATTTTGCCATGAAAATAGAAAAAGACAGTTTAGTTAATATGTATTTTAGACACTTTTGTGAACACCCAGGCTGTTACTCTAATCTCAAGTCTTTTAATGAGAAATAGGAATCTAGCTGCTGTCTCCCATTGTGCACAGCAAGTAAATACCAAAAATCCAAATACATTGCTTAAGATATTTACTCTCTAGTTTAAAAAGAGTACAAACTGAAAACTAACACTATAGTACAATCTTTGCAGGCTAATATTTCAGATACTGTCTCTGTAAATATTTAGAAACCACACAATTTTGTGCATGACATTTAACAAGAATATTCAGTGAGAAGGTATTGAACAGGTTTGGAACACCAAACACTCACCAATATTTTGAAAAGCTAATGCAATAAATTTCACAATACGGTTTGAAAACAACAGTCAAATATATGGAAGCATTCTCACATTTTTAGACTATGCACTGCAGTTCTTTTGGGTAGCATGCTTGGCTTTATAAATTTACTCTAACAAGATGCCTCTTGCAGGTTGAAAAGATTAGCATTTCTCCAATCTTGTTCAAGTCATTCACTCAATGACATTTTTGTCTGAATAATCTCTCATAAATAATAGACCTTATGTGATCATATTTCACAAATGCTCTTCCCAAAACAGACTCACTCAAGGCCTGTAAATACCTTCTCTACCACAGGGCTGAAATTAAAGGACTGTCACTGTGTATTAAAATGTATTTGATGCAGTTGAAACACTTCAAATTTAAAAAATTACAAAAGCACAGAAGTTATGAAAGCAGAATGCTGGCAGTGAATTTTACATGCCTATAAGCACAAGGTAGTAGCAGAGCTATATTAAATCAAGCCACTATGATTTTCTTTCAGTGACATAAATCAACTGAAAGCTTTAGAAAACTTAAAAAAAAAATAAAATGGGAATAACAGAAAACCGGAAACAAAAGAAAAACTGTAGACATTCTGTATCTTTTCCATACATATCCTACCCAATAAATTTTGTTCCTTGTGGACCAAGCTGCAGGATTCGGCTAACCATGCTCTCACCCTCATTTAGAGGGGGAGGAGTGTTAGGAAGATGCAGTTTACTGAATAACATCCATGCAGCAGGAAGAGAAACGAGAAGGGGAAATTAGGAACAAGCTGTCATTCCCGACAGAACCGGCAGTTTACACCAGGGTGCCACTTACGGTAATGAACAAAATTTATAAAAAAGCGCCACATCATAGTGGATTGTTTCCCCTATTTTAAGCTTTAAAAAAGTCAATTCCTAGCATTTGTACTACTTGATGCTCTACAGTAGAGTGCTCTGCCATCACTCTCAGGGGCTTTGCTTCACAGGACGGAGACAGGCACCTCCCAGCGACTCCAGCAGGAGCCATGCACATGCCACGGCATAAAGAACAGAGCCGAGTATTTGGGTCCTTGTGGGTGACTCTAGGACCCTTTTTTGTCACAGTGATATTTCTCCGGTACTCTAAGAGAAAGAGAGTCAAAACCTGTTCTGTGTTACAGGCGTGTGACTCCTCCTAACTTCAAAGGCAGGTTGCATAAGTAGATGGAGGCCAGACCTAGCCTTTTCATGGCTTTCCTTACCTTCGGCTCCACCCTGCAGTCATCAGAGAGGCAAAGTTCCCCTTAAAATACAAGGGTACTTTCTGGAAGGAACGTCAGGTTGGCATTTTTTGATATTTCAAGTTAAGTAGCCTATCTTACATGATCAAATGAGTCAATGTTTAACTGCTTAGATCCACAGGATAAAGGAAATGAAAGATGCAGCATGAGTGTAAACAATGAAATTCAAAGAACAACTCACCCTAAAAATTGTGCCCCTGCTGGCCCCATTTCTACAAGTCTACTTGCTAATCCTTCTCCTTCAACCATTGGTGGTGGGCTGGCCAGTTTATGCCTCTTTACCAAGCGGCAGGTGATGCGGGTTGGTGCTGTACACTTGCGTGGTGGGATAATTATTCTCATTCCATGATGACGACTACCCCTCATCGAACCCCCACGTGCATCAACCATAAAACTAACCAGGAAACTGTAGGAAAAAGGAAATAGGTAAATGAAAATGGTCACAAAACAAGCAGAAGATCAGCAAAAAGTCAACTGCCACGGTCTTTAAAACATAATTAGAAAAGTCCTCCCGAACCCAGCTAAACTAAAAAGAACATAAGGATTCTTTTAAAACTTATACTTACATGTTAACTATTGGTTATCAAAAGCAGGAATTGCTAAAAATCTAACGTCATGGTGAAACGAACAGGTGCTACTAAGCAATATAGATTAAAAGAGTACACAAGTAGTGTATTAGTAGTGGTTTATTAGAATTTAAAAACATCCCTGTGTTACTTTTAGCTGTACTGTCCATAAGCAAGAGTAATCAGCCTCACATGCAGAAAGCAACCAGACATCATAGAAAAAGGAGAATTAAAAATGCTTATTATTTTTCGGATCTCAGTCTTCTAAACCTCCACACAGTCTTATTTGCAAACACTTCTGACAGCTGGCAGCACAACTGCTGGCACCGTGGGTGACAGTCAGTCTGGGCTACTAAGGGCTTCCACTGATGGAGAATGAGTGAGAATATCAAGCACATAACTTTCTTGAGGCTGATGGCACTCTGGAGGAAATCATGCCATTACTCCTCTGTGAAGATGACAGTCATTAACAAAAAGTGACATTAAAGAAAAATCGCATTTGCCAGTGTCATTCCAATCCATAATTTTCCATTTAATAATAGAAGGGTAAGCAATTATATTTGTAAGTGATGAATGGTAGATTTTGAAATAAAATTACTTTTATTAGCAAGGGAATAATGAATATTAACAGGAATAATCATTAATAGTTGTGGTTTTTCATCTATGAAATGCTTAGAAGCTACAATATGTGAAGTGCTACTGTCTTTAACAGAATAGTCACAGGGAAGCAGAGTGTGATCCCAGGATCAAAACCAGACTTCAGTCTGTTTCAAAACTCTGCAGCAAAAATCCTTCCAATTTACAAGGATCAAAACATATAGCTTCCTGCACAGCCAAAGAGTTGTAGGGGGTTTCCTCTGGTGCTCTAAAATACCTTCACTTTTCCTCTGTACCGTAAGCTGCTGAGAGAGAATAACTTCAGGTAGTAGGTGCAATAACAGGCCAGCATCAAGAGGGACACAAGTTACCAACTCAGTCTTGATGCCAATACATCTATTCCTTTTTTTTTCACTCCTTCTGTATGATATGCAGATGCTGACATAGCTGGCACATCAGCTGCATGGTTTCACTGTTTTCAAGCCTGTTGCAAAAATTTCCAGATCTTAAGGATAAAACTTCCATGTGATTAACAGGTGAATCCATTCAATTTCCTGGTTCCCTTCTGTAAACGAAACTAAGGGTAAAAGACAATAATCCAGGGAGGTCATGAAGATTCTTTAAAAAAGCAAGTGCTCTGAAGTACAATTGGGAATTTGTGTAAGACAGTTACACTTGCTTTTGTCACCAGCAGGGTACTGAAACAGCTGATGTGCATTGGCCAGGCCCGTAAATAAGCTGCATTTGGAAGTCTGGGTGACATGGGTGGGAAAAATCTGCGCAAAAGCAAGAGTGTAATCAGACTTTGTGTTTAGTGGTCTGCAGGACACAGGCGGCTAGGGACAGAAGCTGTAAATACATGAAGCAGGACAGAAAGGTTGTCCAACTGAATTCCAGATAAAGAAATTGCTACATTGCCCTTCTTCAAACCCAATTAAAATCCATCAGTAAAGATGAAGAGGTGAAACAGCCCTCTGAGACGACTCTAACCCCAATTCATCATTTCTTGTGCCCAGACACTTTAAAATATTGAAGCACAAATAAAATGCACACTATTTCACAGTAGTTTTCAAACAAATAAGTTGTATCCACATTTCTCTCCCGGATAAACACACTACGCGCTACTGAACAAATCCAGACATTACCACTAGGGTATCCCAATTCCTCATAAGAGGAATTGCTTCAGTGGGAACAGCATCTTTGCTGAATAGCTAACAAAACACTTCCTACAAATAATCTATGTCAAAAACAATATGCTCAATCATTAAATTGTAGAGTATATAAATTATGTTACTATTTATAGATTACAAAATCTTAGATGTCTGTAAGCTCTGTTGACCAGAATACTTTCCTGTTTGTTAACAAAAGGCTGCAACAAGCAGAGTCACCAGCTCTTGAGAGCCTGGACCTTTGGTTCCCTTTCCCCTCTGCTCAGTGAGCACTATCAGCCTGTCAGCATGCTCATGTTGTTTTTTCTCCCTGCAACTGCTCTATACGGTGGGTGGTGAAGGCTGATAGTAGGAGACAGATGTCACTGAGCGTATGGAAGGGTAGGCCAATGGTTTGTCTTCAGAGATGGCAAGGAGCCAGCTTGTGACTAGCTGTGAAGAGAGTTCAAGACAATCTATTAAAATTTACTATGAAGCAAAGTAAAATACTAAGCAGGGACCCACAGCCTTTGGCCACCGAAGGCAGAATACTGCAAGGAATCTGTTACAATTGGTGCCTTGGTGGCCTTTTAAAAATGCGCATGGTTTTTGCCTGCAGAGAAGATGGGGCCGCTTCAGACTACGTGGAAGTGTGTGGGGTGAACAGGTGGCTGGGTGGAGCATCCCTTGAGGGCAGATGTGGCAGCAGCTCTGGGGAGGCACATCTGGTCGATGCACCATGGAGGAACAGAGAGGGGCCTCCCAGGAAGCTTGGCAAGGCTGGGCTTGGCCTGATGGCTCAGTACAAGGTGATGTTTTGGAGAGCTGCCTATCATGTACGTGATTACGGGCACGTTAAGCCAGCTCATAATTCATAAAAAAAATAAAAGGAATTTTCAAAAATGCCAAAGCTTGCACTCAGATGTTTTCTCTGTATCCAAACTCTTTAACTGATGCAAGTGTGTCAGAGTGGATTTTCAAAAATACGTAGCCATCTACATGAACTGACTTAACACAAAAATTAATGGAAGTTAAAACTAAGTACCTACAAAAATCAGGCCCTGAGCTCTCAGGTACATTTAGGCTGTAGATTTCAAGGTCATGCAGAAATAGCTGAGTTGGGTTTGATGACAGGCACTGATACCAGTCCAGCCTTGGCAACCTGGGGCTTAGCACTGGTAATGCGCACTGCTCACAGCAAGGGCAGATTAACCCTTGACACGAGTCTACGCTCCACTGCAGGAACTAGCCCATTACAGCCAGTTTTGGTGTCTACACCACACTGCAGCCTTTGGTGGAGACAAAACCTTTGGCAAATCAGCCTCTATGTGTATTGCTCCCATATAAAGGTAATCACTGTCAACAACATATTAATTACTTCCTTGTTTAGTTTTCAAATTAGTAATTTGCCATTTAAAACAATAACAATAATTCCAAACAGTATTTCATGCACTTTCTATCAAAAAGATTAGTAGCTGATGCTTGCCTAAATTAATGCTGCACTAATAATGGAAACTACAATATGATCTCTAAAACACAACGCTAAATGCTAATGAGCATTTCTACTTGAATACATGGAAGGGATGAGGATGTGGGCGGATGCACTACAAACATCTACACACACTCTGTGGGAAAAGAGTTAAAAAAAAGAAAATAAAATGAGGATTCACAGAAAGCACAGAGTTGTCACCTTGAATCATACTGGGGAAGTGGAGAGGAATAGCTGCAAAATAATTTAGAAAGCAAATGGGTAAAATTAATTTAAGATAATTAGAGGCAAGCAACAGAAAATATCAATAATAAGAGCAAAGGAAAAGTAACAATCAGAAAAATAACAAAAGCAACACATTCAAAGGTCAACTTTAGAAATTATTTGGCTTTTGCTTCACATATCGTGACCTATGTCATATAAAATATGCTATACATGGAAAAAAAATCCAAAAGAAAGTGTTCATTTAATTAGTTAGCAGAAGTCCAACATTTCTCTGAGAAATGCAGAAACACATGGAGAAGAGAAAAGCACTTGCGATTTGCTTAGGTCAACAGAGAATTTATTGTAGCACAACTTCTTTATTTAATTCCCAAAACATGCTCCACTGTGCCATGGAAAACCACTTCTTGCATTTGTCTATAGCAGTTTATTTTCCAAATTAAAATGTATAAAAATACGTATGGCAGGATACCTGAAAGGCGTATCAGTCCATGCCATTCATTACACTGCTTTCAAAACTGAATTCTTCTGTGTGTAGAGGAGGTTGGAGTAAAGTATAATTAATATGATGTATTCCACCATGCAAGACTGAATATAGTATTTCTGATTTTCTCAATAGGGAAGGCAGTGTGATACATTAATTTCTTTATTTCAGGTAAGAAAACCAAGGAGTTAAAAAAGGCAACATGAAAAGAGCACATCCATTTTTAGTTTGTGAAAGATGCATGAGTAAGCTCACATCTGAAAGCTGAAGGTCATTTTGGTGAAGGGTCTCTACCCTTTCAGAGGCCTCAAGATTCATGATACATTTCAATGTGCTGCTTACGATGGACCCTGTTCAAAACATATGCTGGCAAAACAACTCATTTGAACTCAAAAAGAAAACCATAAAACATTACTTGGCTTAAAAAAAGGAAAAATCAGGAAAGTCAAAATTACTGCCAACAATTCCTTCTTTCTTCCCCTTTCACTGATACATCACTGGATCTCCACATCCTGCTCCCAAAATTCTCCTTCTGCCTCGGTTAGGAAATGGGAATAAACTTTGATGCTCCATTCTGACAGTGGGTAAACGGGAAAAGAGCAACCCAAGGGAGCGGACTGCAGAGGGGCTCCCCTCGTGCGGCACATTGCAGAGCTCGGGGAGGATGAGGAATGTGAAGAGCAGTGGGGTCAGGCCCTGGTCACAGGGTGACCCAGAGCATGAGGGCTGCTGACAGCAGGTGACCCCAGCCAGCATACCTCTGCCTGTGGCCACAGAAAGAACTAGGGACAACGCCAGTGGGTGAAGCACCGTGAACAAGCAGAAAAGCAATCGCTTTTCAGAAAAAGACTGGCAGAGGAGAAATGAAAAGTTGTGATCCTCTACATATCAGATGTGCTGAGGTACTAGAAGATGCAAAAGGAACATCTGTTGATTGCCCCTGGATGAAGACAACAGGGAAACCAAACAGTATCATATTATAGGGGGCCACAATCAAAAAGAAAATAAACGAGTGAGGGTTTTTTTTTCTGGCAAAGGAACTGAGTCCTCACAGCATCACTTCTGATGGACTTTATCTGTCAAATGAGACTTGTGATGGGTCAGAAAAGCCATACCTGTTTGGAGAATATTTTGGTGCTCAGATCCTCTCCCCACCCTGCAGCCCCAGTTTGCTCCACCATCGCAGGTCTGCAGCCCTTTCCCTCTGGGCAGCAGCTAAGGCCATGTCCTCTTTAGCAGGGACTGATGTACAAAGGGAGCAGATCTGAAGCAGTTGATACGAAAGATCCCATGTCCACAGAATATACATTTTGGATGGTTGGAACCGTTAGTAAGTATGCTGAAGAACTAAGGGCAGATAAGCATTGTCCCAGAGGACTGGCAGGATGCAATGAGACCTATTTTGTATCAGGATGAAAAGGAGCCAGAAAATTTTGGACCAACCAGTCTAACCCCAATTACCAGAAATATTAAGAAATAAAGTATCCAACAATCAATCTATAAGGGCCTAAAGGATAATCAAGAGATTACAACTCACCTACCACCAGTCCTCAAAATAAAAACAAGCCAAACTATAAGTGGCAAGAGTAACTCACCACAAAGGAATTTAACTCCCTTCTTTGACAGGGTAACTTAGCCAGTGGATGTGTGCAAGTACTGTCTTGGCATTTCACAGCAAGCAATCAAGGTATAGCACAGATAAGGTGAGCACGCAATCATCTGAGAAGTTATCTCAAAAGAGATACTATCAGCGCTTTACTGTTAAACTGAAAGGAAGCTTCAAGTGGAGCTTCCACTGTGCAATCCTGGGCCAGGTACTAACCTAACGTTTTCATTCATGATTTGAACGCTGGACAGAAAGAAGGTCTGAAAAGTCTTTGGAAAATAGGATGAGAATTTAAAGCTGTCTTGCTAAAATGGAAAAAGGGTCTGGAATCAACAAACTGAAACACAGTAAACACAAACACAATCAGAGGGAAGAAACCAAACACATAAGCAAAAAACAGAAAAAATAACCACGTTGTAGAATTTCAAAAAAGAACCAAGAAATTCTAGCAGATCACAAACATCTGTCAACAGAAAGAGCAGTTAACAAAATGATAATTCTCACGGTGAGATTGCTTAAGATTAGGTGTGTCATGTGTCAGACCAAAGAGGTAGCGATCCTGTTCCAGCCAGCACTGGTGACATGTCTTTGGGAGTTTGGTGCCCAAACTGGCTTAGAAATAAGCTATCATCAAAGACAGCAGCAAGAAAGCACTGAAAAGTGCAAAGCACCACCTAGAAGGATCTGGGACATTTTAGTCTATAAATAGAGAGGATTACATGTCTTCTAACACACAAACCTTTGTTAAGAAACTAGTAAGATATTGTTCTCCTTGACTACTAAGGATATGACAAGGAATAGGCTTAATCTGCAGGAAAGAAATTCTCATTTGAATATCAAGGGAAGAAATATTGTATATATAAAGGGATAGTGAACTACTGAAGCTGGTGGACTATAGACTCTCTTATTTTTACTGACTGTGAAAAAATTCAACATATTTCAGGAACGGCTTGACTACATTTTATGCTGCTGTAATGCAAAAGGACTGGACTACCAGCTCTCTGAGGTCCTTTGCTGACATAGCTTTCCATGATAACCAGCAGATTTCAGCTTTTCATACTGCGATTTTTGAAATTTCAACTCTAGCATTGAGCATATGCAGTGTTTTATCAGCTCAGGACCCAGAAATCCACTGTTGTATAGTTCAGTTCAGCAGAAGCAAGTGCTTACATGCATTGTGAGACTGTAGCTTTAGATTTGTGGGACCTGCTGCTATTTCGGAACTGAACTCTTTTATTATGTGCTGCGCTCATTTTGATTATAAGAATGTAGTTAGTCACAAAACAGGGAAGTAAATTAAAAAGGATATGAAATTTTATGTCCTGACCTTGAAAATTAAACAACAAATATTTATACTAGACAATCTCACATGCAATGATTCCTCTCAGTTACACATTTATTTGTACATTTTTAAAATATGCGTTCAAACATTACTACTAGTGCATTTAAATCAAGTCTGAGTGGTGCTGTCAAGAAGCATCACAACTACAGTGATGACTCATAAGTAAACGAATAGTACCACTGAAGTCAAACTACAGATATTGGAAAATAGGCAGGAGTTTAGATGTATAAATGAAGTCAGAATATAAATTAAAGCCCCTCATTTTTTCCTCTATGAAAGAACAGAAAGCATAACATTATAGCTCTGATTTTGTATTCCAAATAATGTAATACCATTCAAACAAAATCACCTCATCACACTTAAAAGCAAAGCATAAACAACAGAAAAAGCAAAACAGGACTATTAAAGAGAAGCCTGTGGGATTACAATGTTTTAGCGTAGAGAAAACTAAGTGCAGAGCAAGATTTTTGTTCAATATGCAAGAATTTAGACTGACTTTTTATTAAGCATCCTCATTGAAGTCAGTGTGAATTCTGCCACTGGCTTCAACTGGAGCAGGAATAGGCATGTTATCAGCCATTACAGCAGGCTGTATTCTTCAGCTAACAATACACTTCCACATTTAAAGATAAAGGAAATCTGTTAAGCAACCTACCCAGAATGGATGGGACTTGAAACAAGGTTAACATTGTCCAAGGTGTCTGCAGCCCAGCTATAGTGTCTGAGAGAATCAGAATCAAACTCCCTTTGAAACGTCAGGTGCTTAAAAACATAATAAAAAAGATAAATTGCAATTTAAAATTAACATGAAAAATACTTGTCTTAAATACAAGCTTCTTATTATGATTCTATTAAATTTAGATCTGGACTGTTTCCACATAACAGTGCTGATATTTGAGATGCTAAATTACTAGAAATCCCATAACAGAAACATGGAATCCACAGACAAATTAATCTTACATATCTTCAAACTTTCTTTCTGCCCACTTTTCCCACTTCCTTCAGTTACAACTTGTCTCTCTAATCTTTACTTACATATGCAATGCTAAAAAGATTGAAAACATTATTACCATCTGCACTGCAATCATATACCGTATAGACAGGCTGTATGATATTCCCCCACGGAAAATGCCATTGAATAGATCCTTATTCAAGAAGAATCTGAGAATAACTTCACTGGAGCTCTGAATACATGACCAAACTCCCAGTGGGAGGAGGGTTTAGTTTGTATTTATACATGTACAACCAACACGAACACTGTTGAACACTGTTTTCTCGAGTGCCACTGTCCCTTCTCACCTCTATAAAAATAGCTTTAACCCTGCTAAGCGCTGGCACACCGGTGCTATAATTAACTGCCCCATCTGACAGACATTGAGGAGTAGTTTGTTTCTCGCTGCTGCCCGTGGGCACGCGCATGCACACTCATACATCCTGTGCCCCACAACAAGGTCTTGCACTATAAATCGTCTTATCTCTACAGCAAAACTATTCTAGCAAAATATTCTTTTTTCTTTGTTTCTTTTTACTAGGAAATTAAACAAATTAAATCATCAAATCCTTTATGTCCACATTTCCAGGGTGATATGATAGCTTCTAAACAATTTAAGAAACACCGTCAGAAGTTACATCAATGAAACTAAGAAGCTGTCATGTGATACTCACAGACTATCTTCACCCAAGATGGTGTTAAAGATGTCAGTGTTTCCTCTAAGTATGTTGTTTTCTGCTTATAGGCAAACGCACTTAGAGAGAACCGAATCTGTGAAGACTAAAACCTTACAGATTGTTTTCAAACTAAATTCCATGGGTTCAAGTCAAACCAGAGTTAAGCACACACACACTTCTACATAGGGAAGTTTTGCTATTTCCACCCCTTTTTTTTATTTTTTTTTTTTTAGGTACTGGCATATAGAGGTAGTGCAAATGAATTATTTTGAATCAAAACATCAGCATTAGTAGTAAATTTGGTAAAGTCATAAACACATAAAAATACTTCTGTTCAGAAGCTTCCACAAGACAAGGAAGCAGAGAGTGCCCTGCTGTTGGCCAGAACCTGCAACTCTCGCATCACCCTGGGGTTTCCAAAAAACTTCTCTCTTTAGACATTTCTGTTATTTCAGGTGAGCATCCCAGGTTTCCTTCCAAAAATCATTGACATTATTATTTACTGCCAATCAACAGAAACATCTGCAGGGTACAACTTTGCTCTGTGATCTGTCCAACACTGCGGCATGTGGCTTGATACCTCCTTCCTTTGCTACCTTAACTCTCATTAGAATCTTTCATTAAACTTTTTGCTGTAAGATATGTACTTTAGGGTTGATGGTTCAAGCACAGACAACAATAATAAGGGGCAAACTTGCATATGTTAAACACCAGAATACACCATTAGACATAAAAGATAAAATTAGTACCATTAAAACAAGGGCAATTGAGCAACAGGAGTGGCCTTAATTAGCACCATTTTGAAAAATGTATCATAATCTAGTTTAATGAAGACAGTTGCCTGACTCTTTCCTATAGAACACTAGGGATTCTCCTACATTTCCCTGAAGAGCCAGTAGTTTAGGAGGGAAAGTCATCACTGAGGATTTCTGCTATTCCAAGTGGTCTGATTTTGTGAGAGCTCATACTGAGTATGTTATTACTCTTGGTACCGAACAACGTAAGATCCAGACAGTTGGTCTCAGAAGTTGTAAAAATTTAGACAACCAGAAATAAATTTATTCTTTTGCTCAGTGATTAACATTATCATTAAAAATAGGACAAAACAAAGAAACTTAAGAACTGCGTTAAAATGTAGCGTTTGTCATCAAATGTCTGCTAAGTCGTAACAGTGTCACTACACTTGAGGTCCAGGCATGCAGCAGGACACATACATCAACAAATAAACGTGGGATTATGTTTCCTGTAACAGAAGAAAAATGTCTTATTTCCTTCAGCAGTGTGGTACAGAAAACTAAATGTAGAGCCACATAATTTAGAATCATAGAATCGTTAGGGCTGGAAGGGACCTTCAAAGGCCATCTAGTCCAACCCCCCTGCAAGGAACAGGGATATCTCCAACTAGATCAGGTTGCTCAGGGCCTCATCCAACCGGGCCTTGAACGTCTCCAGGGATGGAGCATCCACCACCTCTCTGGGCAACCTGTTCCAGTGTTCTACAACTCTCATGGTAAAAAATTTTTTCCTAATATCCAACCTGAATCTACCTCCCTCTATTTTAAAACCATTACCCCTTGTCCTATCACAACTGGCCCTCCTGAACAGCCTCTCCCCATCTTTCTTGTAGGCCCCCTTGAGGTACTGGAAGACCTCAAGGAAATACCACTGCTCTCAAATAATCTATGCTAGATACAGGTGCTACTACACTCACCAAGCTGCTGTTAGGTTTGCTTATACACATACACAGGGTTCCTTGATCTGTTCCTTTGTCCTGAGATACTGTCTGTATATCGTGTGACTATATTTTTGATGCATTCCTTTCTGACAAAACACACTCAAACAGATCTTTTGGATGTATCTACAGCCAGTAAAAGCACAAAGCCTGCAGCCAATAATTTTGGCAGAGAAACGGCGTAGGAAAAGCTAATAGCCAGACACATGCATCTTACACACAGCACACATCTGTTCATCTCATTGTGTCAGTCTGTTGAAGTGCTGGATTTTCCAGGGAGGTAAAAAGATCTTCCTGTGTAAGTTGCAATATAAGTACTCCAGAAGAGGTACATCATCAGGGACATCAAATCACAGGATTCATCCTGCGTTTGGTCAGGTCCCAGTGTTCCCTCCCTGGACAAAGGGAGATTAAATATGCATTGCTAAAGGGTGTGGCACCATAAAATGCAAATACATGTATAAAAATACTGATGGTTCTGCTGGCAAGAATCCTGCTGGTTGCATAACCGAATATCCAGGCTGTGTAATATCAGAGTTCAGCAAACACAAGAATTTATGCTTCCTCCCAGATGAGTTTATCCAGATAGAAGAGATTCAGCAAGCTGCTATGTAACGGACAGCCTGATTCATTCCGCCTTTGGCTGATTAAATTCAGAGGCTGATGTAAATTATTCCATGGAGAAAGTCGTTCGGATTCGGTCTGAGTTGCTGCATCCATGGTAACGCACCATGACATAGAAATTTTAACTTTGCTCCAGCCAGGTTATGAGGCACACTACGGCCTGGACTCACACTCCCCTATTGAAGAGGATCAGCAACAAACCACCGAATGTGTACAATGAAAAATATCACGATTTCTCAAGGAATTGTTAGAAACTCTTCTCTAATACCCAACATGCCATGCTGGCAGTCAGGTTCAGTAGAGATTGGTTTCATATCTTACTCTTTTGACTTTTTTTTAGACTCCCAAGTCTCCCAGTGATGTTGGGGAGAAGCAGTCACGGCATCTTCTATTTTAACCTCATCAAGAGGTTGGCAAATGCCCCTTATTCTTTTGTATACTTATATTTGTGATAAAATCAATTGCCTTTACTCTGAGATTTTGCTGTTGCCATGAATTCCAGGAAGGTCTGAGAAGTATGAAAGAAGAGAAACAGAATATGCAGACAGGCAATGGCTCCCTACTTCAAAGTAGTGTGATACTCCAAAACAGCCTTAACTCCTATCAGTTTCCAGATGGACTTTAGGATATTGGTTTTGACTCACAAAGATCTTTGTTCCTCTGAATTCCATTGTTGGAACACCAGGTGTTTTTTTTCTCTGCTTTCTACTGCCATAGCAGAGATTAACTAGAAGCCCAGTAATGTACAGAGAGAGGGATGGGAAGAAGAGAGGCAGGGATATTTTTCATCTCCCAAATGCACTCCTTCCACTTCAGCCAAAGAGCTGTAAAGTTTACCCACCATAGGCCTGGGCTGGGCTGAAGAATGAGGGAATTCCAGAGAACGGATCTATTTTTTGTCAGGACTTCGAGGTTTGCAGAAGTCATAGCAGAAAATTTTAGCTGGGCTCCCTTTTCATGAAGATAGTTTGTTGCTTTACTGTTGTTTGTTTTTCAGGGCATCATGCTTTTACTAACCTCTCAATACAGGACTGACTTTTTTTTCCACACAGGACTGACTTTTTTTTCCACTACCACCTTCACTATTCCTGGTCCCCTCCTGGACTTGAGAAATGTGAAGTTTGTCTAGAGGATTAAGATTAGAATAACATTTACAACCAGACTGTCAGCCAGGCCTCCAGCCTGGCTTCATTTTGTGTGACAAATTTGGACCAGCACTGAACTGCAATAATTGCACAATCATTGCCGGACAAAAACTAGAATCACAAAAATATGAAGACTATAAATGTAATGAAAACAGCTTACACTACAGCTCAGCACCAGCACTAGAAGGTTTTCCTATTTCTTGCCTTCTCAACTCAAGAGCCAGCACTGCAAAAGATCCTCCAGAAAGCAGAGAGGTCCGTGACCACTCATAGAGAATATGAAGTTTGCCTTCAAGTAGATCTCCTGTACATGATGCGGTGTCATTGCAACTCCCCCATGTACAGATACGTGGAATTTTTCTAGTGGAATTTTGTAATACAAAGCAGGTTAATGCTGCTCATTTCAAACAACATTCTTTAGGACTTATTCAGTATAGTGCTGGCTTTAAGTCCTTATGTGATCAAATGCACCCTAGCTGCTAAATCAATGCCATCTACTTTGACGGTAATCACAAAAATGGCCAGAATCATAAAACAATGTCATATGCTCTCAGACTGAAAAGCCTTCCTCTCCTCTGAAATATCCAGCATATCAAGAAGATTTAATGAAGGCTTAAGAGTAGCAAGTGTCAGAGTAACTTTAGGTTCTCAGCCTGAAATATAATTTCTTGTTCCCAGTGCCAGTAGTTGCAGATTTTATTTTGTGACTTCAAAATAAACAAAAGCAACAAAATCACTGCTACGGAATGTTCAGAAACTCTCCCTAGGGGGCTGTTGCAAATCAAGGTTATTGGAGGTTTACAGCATTTCACCTGAAAGTGACAACCTAGTAATAAACATTCAGTCGCTAAAGACAGAATGCAATTTCTGCCATTGTCATAATGGTACCAAAACTGTGTGCTAAAGCTGTAGTAAAACTAGAATTTACAGACTAATAGAATCCTGCTCTATGGACCCTTTCCCCCCTGAAAAGGGGGGGATCCTCTGAGAGCAATAACCCCCCATGCAGGAATACTTGTTGCTACTGAGAGAGGTACCTCTATGAAAATGGTGCAGAAAACTTGTTTCATTACAATCCACCTTATGCTATTCTAGGACATAAACAACAGCTCCACTCCACAGTCCTTTAATTCCCAGGTAAATGTTTCTGTGCGAATTTTTATTCAGCTTCCTAACAGACCTTTGGCTTCTGCGTATCAAGAAACTCATGAGTAATGCAGTTAGGTTTGAAGGTCTGAAGCAAGCCTACCAAGCAAAATGCTGAGGAACTCAAACGAAACATGCGGTACCCTATCACCTCCAGCATTAGCTTTTGGAAAGACTCTCCCACGCTATAATCAGGTCAAAAGATTCTGCTTTTGTTATATTAGTCATTGCACAAATATTAGGAAGATACATAAACTGGTTAGTGCACAATAGTTTAATCTTTACAAGGCCAAATTCTTCCCAAGGGTGGAAAAACAAGGACAGCAGTTGGAGTCTCCTCCACGCAGACAGAACGGGCAAAGGTAATCCCTGGGCTGTACAGTACAGACAAAGGTTGCTCAGTGTAAAACACATTGCTCCCAGCTTATCAAAGCACTCTAAGGATACACGTAACATTAAGCTCACAGATGCTCCCATTGACTTCGATAGACAATCCCATGCTCAGAAACGTAACGAGTTTGTTAAAGACTCTTTGGGACCCCATCCCCCTGCCTCTTGCAGGATCAAAACCACAAAGTGGTAAATCCACGATTTCTTTCTTTCAGCTCCTTTCTTCTCTCTTTTCAATAGTGAAGAGAGTAGTGATAGTCTCTGCAAGAACAGCTGAGGGCTGCAGACTGTCATCCCCTATAAATATGAAATGTGAATACATGGTGGCAGAGACACAGCACATACCTGCTCCTTTGCTGGTACCAGCAGTTCTTCAATCATCATGCTGTCTCGGGCATAAGAACTTCTGTTCAGCGTGTAGGACCTATCCGAACTGAAGGAGCGGAGGCTGTTGTATTTACCATTTATCATAGAAAGTGCAGATGACAATGAGATGAACAAAAAATAAAAATTAAAAAATTAATACATGCAACTTCCAGGGATAGCATAAAATGGCAAAATATACATAATATGTGAAATAAATACAAGGGAAAAAATTGAATAATAAGTATTTGACTATAGTTAAATATCCCCTTCCCTGCAATAAACATAAGCAAAATCACAACAGATGTTTACTGCTTTGGCAGTAACGCCGTGGCTTTAGAATAAATCCAGAAAAGTGTATTCAAGTATTTAGATGAACTTTGATAAATGTCTTCGTGCCCTAATCCTGAAAGGAGACCCATGAGGGCAGGTCCCAGGGGAGCTGTGGGTAGGTTACAGTGCCTGCCCATACGGCTCAGATTGCTGAAGCAGGTTTAACTAAGAGCAAGTTTTATGTGTTGTTCTCTTTGTGGCTGAACCACTTCTGACTTTGTTATAAACACTCTAGTTATTCATTTAGTTAGATAAAAGGATAATAGTAATGAAATGGAAGAAGAAAGAAAAGAAATTTGCTTATTGATGATTAAATACAGATTGCAATGCTCTGGGGATTATTTTGTGCATGTTAGACTATTCAGCAATAACTGTGACCGCTCTGAATGTGTTGCAATGAAATCAACGTCGGAGCGTGTTACACTTAACCCTGGAAGGTACATTATGGTATGTGCTAAAAACATGCTGCAGGCCTAGACATGCTTGCTACGTGAATTAATAAAAGTAAAGAAGTAAAAAACGTGAATTAATAAAATGCAACATCCAACAACATATTACATTTTTGAACTAGCAACACTTTTCAGATTCAAAATTCTACAACTTGTTTCATGCATTTTGTAGTTGCCAATCGAACTTTTCTAGTCCCTTAGTACACGTTCCTCCCTGTGCTGGAAGTAGAACTGGGATCTTAATTACACACCGTAGGCATATGTTAAGCAGACTTTTACATGATAAAGGGCATAAAGAAATCAAGTTATATTTGTTTTAACAGAGGGATATCCTCTAAGGCTGATCCCGCCCCCCTGCCCCTCCCAAAAAATGAAAGCATGTCACTTTCCAATGCTGAATAAAATGAAGATGAGTAATGGCAGCAGCAGAAAGATGTAACACGATGCCATGCCTTCTTACCTGACTTTTGGACTTAAGCAATTTACAGTGGAAAAGAAACAGGAGAAATAGAAAGCAAAGAATCAGACAGGAAAAAGCAAGATGTTATGGCTGGATGGCTTATATATTTAATGTGTATATTTCTTAATGTTACACTCAGAATCAGTAGCAAGATACATCCACAGAATACTTTTTGCTAAATAAAATACTTCACAGGAAAAACGTTGTATTTGTCTCCTCTGAGCATAACATGTGCAATGTAAAAAATGAGTTACGCAGCAACAAATAGTAATGGCACTGCTAAAATCAGAAGCATGGGAATATTAGATCTCTCTCAAAGAAAACATAACGTGAGGTTGAACCCCCGAGGGGTTCTGTTCTACCTAACAGATCTTGACTCTGAAATTCTGGTCTCCCACCTGCACAGTGAGAATTTAGACATGTGCCAGAAGAGTACTGTAAGGAGTAAAAGGTGTCCTGTAGATCAGTGCCCAGCTCTCTACACCAAGTGCACTCCCTCTCCACCATCACTGCGCTGCTTCAGGACTGACCACATCTGATAGTGCTGTAAGAGGACCTTGCTCACGCCAGCTTCTGCTTAAAAGCAGCATGTCAACTTTGTTAATTAACTTTACAAAGACACAAGATTCTCCCTTCAGATCTGTTTTGGTGATTTTCTAGCTAATGGACTATTTAAATGCATTTTGGCATTCCTCATGAATGTATTATCACTTAAACACTTATTAACTTTCCTAAAAATTCAAAGTGAAGCAAAACATGGCTAGGCACTACTAAAGAGCAAATTTGCACTGCATGCTTGCATTTCTAATGCAACCATAACAAACAAGAGTGAAGGGCAGACACCTAGGCTTTACCTTATGGGAGTTGCCATTTGCTGTTAGACAATGAACTCACTTTTTAAAATAGATCTTTAAACTTCAGCATAGGAAAAAGTCCTCAGGGCTCCAGCTTATTGAGGTTTAATTATTAGCTTCAGTACAATTCAACTGTCAGTAAACACATCGCAAATCCACAACTATGGAAGTAGTCTCTGCTCATACAGCTTTAATTGTTTTGAGCAACGCACACTGCAGGCTATAGCAAGATTCAAAACTGAAATCTAAAACGTTGATCTAGAAACACCTGAGTTGAAATCAACATTAGTCAGATATTATATTAAGCTTACAACATTTTATCAGGTTCACAGAAACTTTGGCCTGTTTTCCGTAACACGTAATCTGTTCCCTGTCAAATGAAACCCTGCAACAACTTTAGAGTACACCTGCTTTTTTTTTGTTTTGGGAGAACTTCTCTTAATATTGGCAAATCTTGGTTGGATTCCTCACTAGCACCTTTAAAGAAATAAAAGCACCAGAATAGCAAAATGATTGTCATTCAGTTTTTCTGGCATTTACATTCTTCAGCTAAATTAGTCCATTAAGGAACACTTCAATGTGAATATCCATCTGACCAGCAGTAGTCAAAAGAAATCTGGTTTTGCTGGCTGTTCTAGATCAGATTCTAGACCAGGTGCAAACTGCTAGCAAAGAGGTGCCTTGGAGATGTTCAGAGCATGAGCAGATACCAGAAAAAGTGAATAGTTAGTTTTCTGTATCATTGCCATAAGAAGCCAACATGAATAGAGTATGAAATAAAACTGCAATGAACATATGCTTTAAAAGCATAGTATTATGCTAACACGGAAGTACACCCCCTCTACTTCATTTCAAAATAGACTCCAGCTTTGTGTGAAAGAGCGCGCCTGGTTTGTAAAAACTTTTAACTGTGATGACACGCGCACGAGAAACAGCAAATACAATACCTGGCGGAGCGGGCTCCCAGGCTAAAGCCCATGTATCCTTCAGCAGGCAAAGAATCATCTCCCAGCTCTTTCAGATCCTGGGGTCCGAGGTATTTGTCCGTATCACCTGTCATTGCATCCTCACCTGCCAGTACAAAAGCCAGGCTGAAATCAGAAGCTACATGTATTGTGAATGTTTATGTGCTTAGTAAGTCATAACGCCCTTCTCTGCTCGCCAACAAGGAATCAATTCCGTCACCCCCCCTTTCCCTAAGGCTCTTTCCATGTAGCACGCCGCCAATTATCCACCCTTTGAACGGGCCTGAGAAAATAATTTTATTGGGGGCAAACGTAAGAAGCAAGACTCCACCTTGACGTAAATGCAATAAAGTTATATGAGGGACGACTTTTGCCCAATCACTTAAGCAAGCTCAAGGGTTCTTCTGTACTTTGCACCACTGCACTCACTTTTGCTTTCATGAGCTGACAAACTAAAGTCAGGTTATTCTATACGCAAAAAAAACATGAAAAGACTTGGCTGTGAGAGACGGCCTGTGTGCCCACCAGTACTGAAAAGTGCAGCAAGCCTGAATAGAGGCTGAATAAAAGAAGAGGCCCGCCTTCCACCTTAGGTATTTCTCAATAGCTTTAGCAAGTTTGAATGTAAGAGGGGACTTTTTTTTTTTTTTTTTTAAATGAACTGCTTCACACTCTTAGGTTGATTTTCTGAAGGTGAGACCTTTGTGAAGCCTCTTTCCTGCCCAGCTCGGGGGCCGAGGGCAGGGCTCCGGCGCAGCCCCGCGGGAGCAGAACAAAGCCTTGCGCCAAACAAGCGGTGCTGCCCGGGGAGTCTGGCAGCCAAAACCCACCGTAGCGCTACGGTTCCCCCATCGGAAAACACCAGATACGTGATAGGCAGGCATCGACAAAGAAGTGATTAGTTTTTTCAGAAAAATAAAAAAAAAAAAAACACCACAAAGAAAGGAAAGTTAAACCCTCGGAGAGGAGGGCAGATGCCACAAAGGGTTAACGGAGCCGCTCCCTCTCGCTGGGCGCATTTGCATACCATTACATCATGCAAAACCTACATTCCTGCATTGACACAGCAAGTCCAAAATGTGCCTTTTGCAGTTGTAGGATTTCCCCCCCCCCTCTGTTCCCTCGACAAGACGGAGCAGGGAGAGCTCCCCGCAAGCTCGGTACTTGCCTGCACTCACGCTCTCCTTTGTTGCGAACGCGTTTTAGGTGTGTGCGAGTTGCACAACAGAGAAGTTTAACAGCGTGCTCTCGAAGGTGAGTGACTCCGCAAGCACCGCCATACGTGTCTCACGTTCATTCAAGGAGTTTAGACTAGTTTCCATTCACTAAACTCAGGAAGCCACAGGCGAGCTCTGGCTTTAAACTAACAATCAGTTCTAAAAATACCCCCTCAGCTACTGCTTTGCAAACGGCAAACAAACAGACCAACTTTCTCCTCCAACCCAGCAACAACGAGTACTTTAAGTAACAGTTTTAAAGCTAAAATGTTCATAATATACCAGAAAGCATTCGAAAAACCAGAAAAAGAAACAAAAGATATTAAGTTAAACTTTAAAGAGTCTTACTGTTTTGGAAAGCCATTTTCACCAGTCTGGTCTATAAGAATTTTTTCCCTGGTGTTTCCAAGAATTCCTATTAGTCCTATTAGTCCTTAAGCAGTGATTTAGAGTTAATCTCCAAACCAGCACAAGCAAACTAATCCCTGTGGGTCATATTCGCTTTCCACACAACCACCGAGATCTTCTTAACATCTTGATCTCTTCGTATGTATTTTAGGACATGTGCATCTTTGTCCTCTCAACTCAAATCAAAAGTTCTTTGCAAATATGAAACAAAAAGAAAAATAATGACTACAGTTAATAAAAAAAAAAAACCAAACCAAAATCCCCTTTTAATCACTCTGCAGACATCCCTTTAAAGCTTCTGCTGATTGGATTACAGCCTCCCTGGGCAAGCCTCTTGACTGGTGACATAAACGCAGGCACTCGAGTTATTTGTATGTAAATAGGGGTGCTACGAGGGTGTAGTTTTTCTGTAACTCGATACCGGGGCTGAGCAGGGAGCGCGGCGCTGCCGGGCTGCGGGGAAGGGCGCTGCGCTCCGCCCGCCCTCGTCGGGGCCGGGGCCTCCCCCCCCCT